TTCGCCGGAACAGAGCTGTCTAAAGAGGCGCCTGATTTGTTTTTTTTTAAATAAAATCTAATACGTATTTTAAAATCGGAATTTCCCCATGTTTTCTTTTTTTATAAAATGGTTGAATGGTGAATCGTTTGGTCTGTGAAATAGTATTTTATCGCGCCAGACGGTGTCAGCAATCAGGCAGTGAGTTAGACAACTTTGCAAGGAAGCCATTTTGAGATGGCTGGGATTCAGTTTTGGTGGCTGGGAAGGAATGACTTGGGGTCAAGGGAGGTTACAATCACAGACTTTCAGATTTTGGCCCCCCAAATGTTTTGGACTCAACCTCTCAGTATTCCTGACTATTACCTAATATGAACACATCTCACCACACTAAAACAGTGGATGTGGCTCTTAATGAGACATGCCGCATTATCACGGGGTGTCTGCACCCTACACCACTGGAGAAATTACACTGCTTAGCCGGTATTGCACCACCTGACATCCGCCGGGAAGTAGCAGCCAATAGTGAAAGGACCAAGGCAGAGACATCTCCAGATCATCCCCTGTTTGGGTATCAGCCAGCACGTCAACGACTTAAATCAAGACATAGTTTTCTTAGATCTACAGAGACACTCGCTGGAACACCCCAGCAAGCGAGAGTCCAAAACTGGCAGGCCCAAACCCAGCACCTCAATTCATGGGTGATACCAGATGAGAGACTCCCCCCTGGGCACTCAGAAGACTGGGCGACTTGGAAGGCGCTGAACAGACTGCGCTCTGGCACCACGAGATGCAGAGCCAATCTTAAGAAATGGGGCTACAGGGTGGAATCCTCGGCATGCAAGTGCGGAGAAGAACAAACCACTGACCACCTGCTGCAATGCACCCTGAGCCCTGCCACATGCACAATGGAGGACCTCCTTGCGGCAACACCAGAGGCACTCCAAGTGGCCAGATACTGGTCAAAGGACATTTAACCAAATACCAAATTTGCAAAATCTGTGTGTTTTTTCTTTCTTTTTCTTTTTAATCTGTGTGTTTGTTTTGCTCTGTTAGAATTGTTTGTAATACAATGGTTGCTGATGACACGATAAATAAATAAATAAATAAATAAGCTAATATGAATCATAGAATCAAAGAGTTGGAAGAGACCTCATGGGCCATCCAGTCTAACCCCTTTCTGCCAAGAAGCAGGAATATTGCACTCAAATCACCCCTGACTGATGGCCATCCAGCCTCTGTTTAAAAGCTTCCAAAGAAGGAGCCTCCACCACACTCCGGGGCAGAGAGTTCCACTGCTGAACAGCTCTCACAGTCAAGAAGTTCTTCCTCATGTTCAGATGGAATCTCCTCTCTTGTAGTTTGAAGCCATTGTTCCTCGTCCTAGTCTCCAGGGAAGCAATAAACAAGCTTGCTCCCTCCTTCCTGTGGCTCCCTCTCACATATTTATACACGGCTATCACATCTCCTCTCAACCTTCTCTTCTTCAGGCTAAACATGCCCAGCTCCTTAAGCCGCTCCTCATAGGGCTTGTTCTCCAGACCCTGGATCATTTTAGTCGCCCTCCTCTGAACACATTCCAGCTTGTCAATATCTCTCTTGAATTGTGGTGCCCAGAATTGGACACAATATTCCAGGTGTGGTCTAACCAAAGCAGAATAGAGGGGTAGCATGACTTCCCTAGATCTAGACACTGGGAGTTGGAAGTCTTAAATTACCTGAAAGGAATCACTGGGTTAAAATTTATTTGTTTGTTTGTTTGTTTGTTTGTTTCGCGCATTTCTACCCCGCCCTTCTCAACCCCTGAGGGGGGACTCAGGGCGGCTTATAAAAGGCACAATTTGATGCCAACACAAACAATATGATAAAAACATATATCAACAGCAATTATAAAACAATTAAAACAATCAATTATACATCACAATCCATAAAACCAGTCTAATGCTCAACGTTCACCAGCTCAGAGTCCGTAAATTCATTCCACATTGTCCAATCCTATCAATTCTAGTCGTCAATTGTCCTTTGTCTATCTGCCAGATTACCCAAAGGCCTGGTCCCATATCCATGTTTTTAGTTTCCTTCTAAAAGAGAGGAGGGATGTCGATGACCTAATTTCCCCGGGAAGTGAATTCCACAGGCGAGGGGCCACCACCGAGAAGGCCCTGCTCCTCGTCCCCACCAACCTCACTTGTGATAGAGGTGGGGCCGAGAGCAGGGCCTCCCCAGAAGATCTTAAACTCCAAGATGGGACGTAGAAGGAGATGCGTTCGGACAGATACACTGGGCCGGAACCATATAGGGTTTTGTAGGTCAAAACCAGCACTTTGAATTGTGCTCGGAACTGGATCGGCAGCCAGTGGAGCTGACATAACAGAGGGGTGGTATGCTCCCTGTATGACGCTCCGGTGAGTAATCTGGCTGCCGCCCGCTGGACTAATTGAAGTTTCCGAACAGTCTTCAAAGGCAACCCCACGTAGAGTGCGTTTCAGTAATCTATTCAGGATGTAACAAGAGCGTGGACCACTGTGGCCATGGCTCAGTGGTCCACACTGAGAAAAAGCACATGGCTCAATGCAGCTGTTGCATTTTGTAAAGTCGCTGTATAGAAACACTAATAAACTGCACTTAATGTAGTCGGAGGTGACTCCCCCTCAGGACTCTGTAAAAGATAGTTCATTATCAGGGAATGCATAGTTTTTCCAAGGACACCAGGCTGGAATGATCCCATAATCTCCTGTCTCTCCCCCATCTGGGAACCTAAGGCTTTTTACATGGCCCCACACTGCAACATCCCTTTGATGTGGAGCAAGAATTTGGGGATCTTTGACAGTAAGACTCACCAAAAGAGCCTGTTAGCCCTGGCGAGACAGAAAGAAGCACCCAAGATTTTCCCCTGATTTTTCACAATAAAAGGTCTCACTAAGTTGAAGAAAAGCCACCGATATTGCGTCCCAGCTGGTACGGATGTCAAACCACAATCCCTTGCCAAAGCTGATATGCTTGGTAGGGCAAAAGTGTACATATTTATAGAAGTACAAAACTGTCAAATTCAAACTTCCCGCTCCCTTGCTGGCTTCGCACTGATTGGCTGGAGCCATCAGCTGGAGGGGAGGGGAGGTGCGGCCGGCTTAGGTGTGCCTTGACCAATAGGAAAGCCAGCACCGCTTTGGCTTCTCAGCCAATGAGGAGCGAGGAGGCAGTACAAGCGGGGAAACAAAGAACCAAGAGGAAAATGAATGGATTAATGTGACTTAATGTGTTGTCCATTTGCTGGTGATAATCCGAAGATTCCTCAAGCTAGCCTTGTATTGTCTTATGAGGCTGAAATATACAAAAGTGGCTGGCGTGGATGCCGAGCCCCAGTAATCTCTAGCCCTGGGTATGGGATCAGTTGATGTTATCTGTGCATTGGTTTCAGCCAAGGGTACGAAGACAATGGGTGAGGCGAATGGGGTCACCATAGGGTGCTCCCTTCAGGCGGCCATGCTCCAAGGCCTGAGGGGCACCATAGTTTCTGTTTATGCAAGAAGTCTTTGTTGAGTCCTTTTAAACAATGGGGAAACATCATCTCAGGAAATGAAGTAGGATTTCCCAAGAATTTGGCATGCTGGGGTCACGAAAGGGGTGGCATTTCATATTTTATACATACACACAAATATGGGGTTCATAAGGCATATACTGGGAGAAAGGGGAAAGAAATCCGTATCAACCCAGTTCTGGGTTGATATGAAGTTCTGGGTTGGTCATCCTTACCTGTAACCCTGTCCAGCGGCAGACCAATCTGGCAAGTTTATGAATTGGATCCTCCATTTTTATGAATGAACCTCCTGTTTTATGAATGGACTTCAGCTACTCAGTGCTATGAACCTTCATGGACTTTGATCAACTTTTATAAACTTTGATGGATTTTGGGTGACCAGGATCAATCTTCCCCTCATACCTGCATGCCCCGCTTTCCTTTATGAACTCTGTATGTGGCCCATATCCCCCATTATTAAGGTGTATGCATATAAAATATGAAGCAAGGTAACCTTTTCATGAATTATACGAGCAACTCATGGCTCCAGGGATTTCAGAACTTCCTGAGCCAATAATCCCTTAACAAAGGTCTTGACAGAAACCCATTTGCACGGAAAATAAGTAATTGGCCCCTTCTTCCTGGACTTTGGAGGGTTTTGTTGACCAGACCATCCAGGATATTGTGGCCCATGGACATGTGAAAACATTCAACACAAAGGACACTTTTTAATCTGAAAGCTATATATTCCATAAACCCCTGCTCAGTGGTATGTCAATTTGTTGGCAGATTACTGCAATCATCATCCTTTTCGGCTGGAATAGAAAATAAACCTCGGCGGCCTTTGCTTCAACTTGGCGAGATTTATTGGGAAATAGGGAAAATCTTTACTGGTGCTTATTGTCTCGCCAGGTGTTTTGGATCCTCTTTTTGGGTCTTGCTGGCCTGTGCCTCAGCAGGGACCCCCTAAATTTGTGTTCAACATGATTACGATCTTTAATCACCAATTTCGCACTTCTACCATTCCATTAAGCAGGAGACTTCCTTTCCTGTTTTACGGATGGAGAAAACTAACTTTTGAGACCACATCAAAAGAATGCTACATAAATCCAGTGCTTCAGGAAGGAGGAGATGTAGTTTTGAAAGGGAATTTTCAGAGATGTTCCCAATGCCCATATGTCCTGGTTTAAGGCCTGTTTCAGCAGTAGACCTTTGTTTACAGAAAATGCTGATTGTTTGAGAAAATAGTGCTGCAGAGGGGAAGGTACTTTTCAAGGATAACAGTACATCCAGAGGACTGGCTAGCTAGTGGCTAGTTTAGGCAGCAGTCCAACCCCATTCTGCCAAGAAGCAAAAAAAATTACATTCGAAGCACCCCCGACAGATGGCCATCCATCTGTTTAAAAGCCTCCAAAGAAGGAGCCTCCACCACACTACAGGGCAGAGAGTTCCACTACTGAACAGCTCTCACAGTTAGGAAGATCTTAAAGATGTCATAAAGATGTTCTGGAGAAAGTTGAACACAAAAACATTTAATATGAAGGAAAGCAATGTAAACCTGGGGTAGAAAAGGTGAGCAGATTTCCCAGGGTTCAGTGACGCCAAAGAAAAGCACAGAGTGAGGGAAGTGCCTTTCCCCCTTTAGGAATGCCAGGAGGTGAACTTAAAGCCCACAGGTTCTGGAACGCATTATACATTGCTGATGCCCAGAGACAAATCTTGGTCCAGGATGCTCCCAATCCTCACACGTAGAGGGAAGAGGTAGGTTGCAACAGGGCTTGGTCCAGGAATTCCCCTGCCCCAGTACAATGCGAAGAAACATAATCTGTGCACTCCCATGCCTTAATAGCTCTGGCTAGATTTCAGGGAACTCAGCAGCATCCCAGTCGGTCTCCAGAGCCTTGAGACCCTGAGCGGGCGGTGGATCCACCTGTTCTGACGGAGGATGGCTGGGGTCCGATCTTGACGCCGCTTCCCTGAAAAAGGAAACATTGAAGGATTAAATTAATTATTACATTTGGCCCTGCCATTGATTTTACTTGTATCATTGTGTGTTGTCAATGTTATTGCTTTGTTTTTTGAGTTATTTTGTTGTTTGTTGTTGCTGTTGTTTTTACTATAGTATTTCGGCTCGGCCTCTTGTAAGCCGCACTGAGTCCTTCAGGAGATGGTAGCGGGGTACAAATAAAGGTTGATTATTATTATTATTATTATTATTATTATTATTATTATTATTATTGAATAATAACAGCTACCTTCAGAAAGACTGAAAAGAATCCAAAACCCCTTTAAGACTATTGGTGGCAAACTTGTGGCCCTCTAGCTGTTTTGGACTTCAGCTCCCAGAATTCCTGACCATTGGACAAGCTGGCTACGGTTTCTGGGAGTTGGGAGTCCCAAACACATGGGTGGCCAAAATTTTTACACCTCTGACTAAGACAAAGACATTTCTAGCCTAAGATGTTGTGTATTACAATCTGTTTCTTCAGATACATCAGAAGTGGACTGCACTTTTTTTCTCCTGTCAGCCTCAAAGGTGCATGATTCCTTTGTGTCTTTATATGCTAAAATGGACTAATATGGCTATCCCATTGAATCCATCCATAGGAATTGCCTTGATTTTACCTATGCCATCTGGGAAGCCCCCGGAAGAAAGCAGATTGGGGTTATTTTTAAATAGTAAAAAACATTGGGGGAACTGAAACAACATGGCCATTCTGTAATAATCTCCTTTAGCACCCCATCTTTCAATTTCCATCAGTGGAGGGAACTCCAAGGAAGCTTTCTGCTGACTCACCTCACTGGAAAGATCAAACTGGCCCTGCAGGATCTTTCTGTAGATGCCTTTTGCAATGCAGAGAAAGGCCTGAAAAGGGGAATCAAAAGACAGAAAACATTTGCATAAGAGAAGAGGCATAAGGTTATAGATACAGGCAAAAGGAAAGAAATGCATTGACCCTCAAATATGAATTCTGCATTCCTAATCCATTTTTCCTTGAGATCCCAAATTTCTAACACTGCAGGGAGTGGGATAAGGAAAACTATTAACATCTAAAACTCTTCTATTAGTTGAGTAAGCACTCCCTTGATAATATTGTCTTCCCTGTTTCCTTGGATGCCCAAACAATAAAAGTTGAGGACCCCTTATTCAGGCGGTGCAGCAGGTGAAACCGCTGAGCTGCTGAACTTGCTGACCAAAAGGTTGGTCGTTTGAATCTGGGGAGCGGCGTGAACTCCCACTGTTAGGCACAGCATCTGCCAACCTAGAAGTTTGAAAACATGCAAATGTGAGTAGATCAATAAGTACCACTTCTGCGGCAAGGTAACGTCACTCCATGCAGTCATGCTGGCCACATGACCTTGGAGGTGTCTATGGACAACACTGGCTCTTCAGCTTAGAAATTGAGATGAGCACCACCTCCCAGAGTCGGACATGGCTAGACTTAATGTCAGGAAACAGTTACATGTTTTTGAACTGCTAGGTTGGCAGAAGCTGAGGCTAACAGCGGGAGCTCACCTCTGGATTCCAAATGGTGACCTTTTGGTCATCAAGTTCAGCAGCTAAGTGATTTCATCCACTGCACCACCGGGGGTTCCAAGCATACATAGCCTCCTATCAAATCAAAGACAAATCAAAACCATCTGATTTTAATCCTGCTCTTATAAAAAAAAATCTAGCCAGTTCCAGATGCACTTTTTCCCATTGGGTCATTTCTGTCCATCCATGAGGCTCTCAGACCTACCAAAACTAAATTAAAGTCAGGTTGTGTGGTCCTGCCAGAAAATATGGGCATGCTGATAATAATTAGATTATCAGCTTATACAGTTGTTAAAACTGAAGATTTTTTAAAAAAAATAAGGATTAGCAGTACTTCAAAGGAACACAACTCCACTCTTCCCTTATGTCCTGTGTCCAGGCAGTAGACAGATCAACTGTGTAACTGTATGCCAAACATGTTTGTGTGTTTGCCCAAATGAGACAGGAACTGGAAACAGATGGGCACCTAACCTCTTCCACATTGGTTGCTGTCCTCGCTGAGGTCTCCAAGAAAACCATACCATGTTCCCGGGCAAAAGCTTCCCCTTCTTCCTTCTGTACAACACGCTGGTTCTCCAGATCACTATGGGAAAATTGTCAAGGTAAATAATCGAAGTAAAGCATGAGCTCCAGTCAGAAACAATCTGAAATGCTGACACACATGTACGGATACTCATAATTTGGTGTTGCTCCCTAAAGGAGAAAAGGGACTTGGAAATCTGGGATGTTGTGTGGTTTCCAGGCTGTATGGCCATGTTCTAGCAGCATTTTCTCCTGACGTTTCACCTGCATCTGTGATTGGCATCTTCAGAGATCCTCTGAAGATGCCAGTCACAGGTGCAGGCCAATGTCAGGAGAAAATGTTGCTAGAACACAGTTATACAGCTCCAAAAACCACACAACACCATGAAAGCCTTCGACAATGACTTGGAAATCATCCCATTCAGTTGTCTACCCTGAACTATTCTGTATGGAACTTACAAAGAAAAAAAGGGGGGGGGCACAAAAATAAAAAGGGGAGCTTTCTGTGTGCATGGATACACACAATCACATGGACATGGGATTCATGCTGCCTTGAAAGCCATCTTGAGAAAATAAATCAAATAAAATACACCACACATAATCCAACATCAGAATGACCAACTGTGGATGATGCCCTGGGGGTCATTTGCTATCCTGGCACATTCTGAATATACAGATTGCCAAAAAAGCAAAGAAAATACAAACCCAAACGTAGCTAGACATCCATATCTGGTTTTGAAAAACAATGTTTTTATGTAAAGTAATCAAGTGGGTTTAAAAGGCTAGAGCTTTCCAGACATACAGTTCACCCATCCCTTTGCAGGGCTGGTTAGGAAAAAAAAGGGATCCAGGGAATCTTGAAGTATGCAGCTCTGGAAAAAAGACATGGGATACTTCATATAGTATTGCAATTTACGATGCTCTTGGGATGGTAGCTTCAACCTAATTAGACTAGAATAATTGTATCCAATACTGACGTAAGTTCCACTGAATGAAGAGGTTATCATCTCAAGTGTGAAGAAAATCCAACTAGCAAATCCTGAAACCACCAGTAACAACCAAGCCAGACACACTTCAGTGTAGAATTAACATTGGAAATCTTTTTTTTTTAACAAAACAGTTGTCTTAAAAGTAATGGTGAAACTGTGATGATGCCAGAAAATTGCCATCATATCTACACATTTCTATGGTAACACACTATTTTCAAACCCTAGGTAAGTACCCTCAAAAAGATCACCAACCTTTTATTGCCGATCAGCACAATCACTATATGAGAGCTGGAGTTTTTCCGGGTATCCTCCAACCAGGATTGCAAGTGGTTAAAAGTGTCCCTCCTGGAGAGATAGGAGGGGGGGGGGGACAAGATCAAGTGGTCTAGAAAGGCATATAGCAGTGGTTTTCACTCAACCTGTGGGTCCCCAGATGTTTTGGCCTTCAACTCCCAGAAATCCTAACAGCTGATAAATGGCCTGGGATTCCTGGGAGATGTAGGCCAAAACACCTGGGGACCCACAGGTTGAGAACCACTGCCATAGAGGAACAGGTACGGAGAGTGAAAGCCCTGTGCTCAATGTCAAAGTTTCTTATTTTGAGGATTATAGCTTCCAGAACCTTTTCAGCAAGCATGATGGTTCCTCAAAGAAACTTTTCCAGACTTGCCTTCTACTTGTGGTAAGTTTGTATAAACTTTTATCATACCTCCCAATGTCAGTACTGGTTAAGGGTGAAGGAAGAGAAGTACATATTAACCTGAGTTCATATGTCCCCTGACCCTTCCATAACCGTGGTGGAAATAAAATGGAGGGCTCACAAGGAAAAGAAGTTACCATATATAGTCGAAGATAAGCTGAGTTTTCCAGCCCCCTTTTTGAGCTGAAAAAGCCTCCTCGGCTAATAATGGGGTCAAAGCCAGGCAGCGGAGCCTGAAGCCATTGCTTGAAATACATATTTCTCTTTCCACTTCACCTCCTTTGACAGTGTGTTTTCTTTTCCAGTCAAAAAGGAGGGAAAGCAGATATATTTCATGTCCTCCTCGTTTGTATGGCTCTTTTTCAAACCCACCCAATTTCCTGGCTTTTTTGGTATCTAAACGTACTAACTTTATATGTACATTTTTGTTCCCTTGGAAGTTTTCCCCTCATATGTTTGCAGGTCTTTGGAAAACCTATATACATATAGATATCTAGATATTTCCATGTACCTGTATATCTGTATCTACATGTATACAATATTTTTATATGAATTTTCCCCTCACATGTTTGCAAGTCTTTGCAAATCCTATAGAGTTATAATTATCTATAGAGACAGAGATGTCTATATGGATATATATGAATATATATAGGGCTTGCAAATATTTCAGGAAGGAAATGCATATAAATAGAGGATTTGGAAACATTTCAGGGGGAAATGCATATTTGAAATTTATATATATATATATAAAATAGATTTATACCTAGCTCTGCATGGTTTATATAGGCATTGAATATTTGCCTATTACTATGTTGGTAGCTGGCCTGGGTCCCCATGGGGAGACAGGGCAGGGTACAAATGAAGTATTATTATTATTATTATTGATACCATATTGTTTTTGTTGACCCTACTTTTCCACTTACACAGCTAGTTTACTGTTTTTCTTTGAAATACAGTAAATACTCAAAAACATTTAACCTACTGATGCCTCAATTAATGTAATTTTTGTATCTATTTTTATTTTGAAATTTACCAGTAGCTGTTGCATTTCCCACCCTTGGCTTATTCTCAAGTCAATATGTTTTCCCAGTTTTTGTGTGTGGTGAAATTAGGTGCCTCAGTTTATATTTGGATTGGCTTATACTTGAGTCTATACGGTAATATTGTAGGGGCAGGCAAACTCCATTTTTCCCAGGAAATCTCCAAGGCTCCTTAACTAAAGGTTACCTCCACTTCCAGGTTTCTGCTTTCTACTGAGAACACTGATGAGCATTTTTGAGCAAGTAGGGATGTGGCAGGGTTGCAAAAAGGGTACCACATGTGGTGTGTCTCTCCCATCCTGGTACTTGCCTTTTCTGACTTTCTAGAACTTCACTGTAACAAATTGTGAGACCTCACTATACAAATCTTGGCTGTCTTTTTTTTTTAAGTGCACGCATCAAAGGGGGCAATTATGACATAAATATTCTCAGGATTTTGAAAAAACCTCCAGATTTTGGGGGGTGTGCCCCATTAAACTATGCACAAGACATTCTTGGCCATACAATGTGTAGACCTATGATAGGGCCTCACTTGGTAATGTCATAAACCAGCAATGCCCCAGCTGCTCCTCTGTAGTATGAGCGGGCGATGGAACGGAATGATTCCTGTCCAGCCTGTGGGGTGGAAAAAAACTAGTCAGGGAGCACACAAAACTATAACTTTGGACTAAACATGCCAATCTCTTTTTCAATATTGGTGATATGATCAAAGCAGAACTTCAACACAGTTGGTGAAGCTTACACCCAAGGAAGGGATTCACTGCCATCTTCTGTGGATTTTAGTACATTTGCAGTCTTCCCTGATGATAGCTTGTGCAATTGCATCTTTGTCCAATTGCATCTCCCTATATAGGACATCTCGTGCACTGCGGTCAGCAGAGGAGGCCCTGCTCTCAGTCCCACCTCTGTCTCAAGCATGGCTGGTGGGGACGAGAGAGGGGGTCTTCTCCGTTATCGCTCCCCATCTCTGGAACTCCCACCCTAAAGAAATAAAAACAGCCCTCACCCTCCTCTCCTTTAAGAAACTTCTGAAAACACACTTATGCACCTTAGTGTATGGAGAGGATACTTTAATCCACCAGAATGTTGATGAACCACTTGCACTATATAACAGCTATGATATATTTTTAAAAAACACCTCTGTTCGCTATTTCAAATGCAATATATTTAACCACTTTCAATGATATGTGTTTAGTGTTCATTTATGTCTTAGTTTTATTTTCTAACTGGTTTATTGCTACCTTGTTCCCATATCAATATTTTTTTCATTATAAGTTTACTATTGTTATTGTGCATTATTTTGTATTATTTCTGATGTTGTTTGTACTTGGTAAGGCATTGAATGTTTGCTTGTCTCTGTATGTAAACCCTTTCAAGAGAGAGGGTGGTCTATAAATATATTATTATTATTATTATTATTATTATTATTATTATTATTATTTGTTCCATGTCAGTGAACAAAGGTGCAATACCTTTTGCATGTTTTAGTTTTCTTTCAAATAGAGACTGAATGCAGGCAAGCAAGCAAAGGTGATGATATAACAGAGCATTATGTGAGTAAAGTTACACCCACCAAAGCCCCTCCAACACTGCGTGATGATGTACTAGTTCTCTTTAGGATAACAAAATTTGTGATGCAACATCCGGAGGACTGATGTACATTTTGAGCCTCATTGCCATTGTTTTAATTTCCTCTCCCATCCACTCTTGAAATCATGAGAGATAGAAATTTCAAAAGATAGTTCTTTGGAAGTGTCTTTGTTCAGCGTACCAAGTGAAGCATAGCAGAGGTACAGTAGTAATTGCTAGCCTTTGCAGAAACCTCAGTGTGACCATTAACCATCCTCTTCCATGTGTTTAACTACAGTTTTCCCCAAAATAAGACATCCCCTGAAAATAAGACCTAGTAGAAGTTTTGCTGAATTGCTAAATATAAGGCCTCCCCCAAAATAAAGACTTAGCAAAGTTTTTGTTTGCTCCCCCTGGTGGCCGGAAGCTGCAATACCGCCCCTGCTGTACAAGGGGTCCAGGAACTGCTGCGGGAGATCATTACAGTCTCCAGACATTGTGTGGGAACCAGGTATTTTACAGCTCTTATTTTTTGTGGCCCTGTGTGTGAGTCAGGCAACCAGTGTGACCAGACAACTGCTGTACAGTTTATAATAAATGTTCATTTTGTTCAACAATAAATGTGAATTCTTCTTCATGGAAAAAGATGACTTCCCCTGAAAATAAGACCTAGTGCATCTTTGGAAGCAATAATTAATATAAGACACTGTCTTATTTTCAGGGAAACAGGGTATCTTATCTCAAGATGAGCAGATTGAACAAAAATTTTAAAGCATTTATTTTATTCTCTGAAATATTCCACCAAAATGCTAACCCAGTTTAATTTTAAGAGATAAGGCTATCTGTGAATAAATATTTATAAAAATGTTTAAATATTGACTTCAATATTGGTTTCCATATAAACAAACACAACCTATGTTAGAAGATTGAGGGGTACCTATTCTTTGTTTAGATATTCCTCTTCTTGCATTCCCTTTGCACCTACACCTCCAAGCCCAAAGTTGGAAAAGTTCCTTTGTACAGTCCTCAGAATTCCCAGTGGTCATGCTGCCTGGGGAATTCTGAGAGTTGCAATTCAAGTTCTGCCCCACCCTCCATAATTCCAGTTTTCCCTCTGCATTTAGGAGAGTCAATGTTTCCTTTCTTCTTCCTTCCAACTCTCCTGCCCAGCTCTGGCACCTGTTACCAAACAAGCTGGAACAAGTCTTTCCTGATTAGCAAGATGTACAAAGAACCGAAGATGGCACAAAGACTGGGAAGAGTTGCCCAAGGAAGTGGGAGGAAATGATGCAAATAAAACCGGCATGCCCTGGCTCTGCATAGGCACTCTAATCCCCATCAACTATGTGCCAACCTGTCTGGAGATCGGGTAAAGAGCAACTAGGGGTCCTCACCGTGTCCCAAATCTGCAGCTTAATCTTTTTGTCATTTATGGTGATCATACGCGATCCGAATTCCACGCCTGGGGGCAAAAAGGAAGGACAAAAAATGTTTCTAAATGCTGAAGCCAAAAGTCCACTTAATCCCTCCCTGTTCACAATTGCCAACGACACTCCAAGAATATAGGAGTGAGGAAGAAGCAGTTGCCAACAAGACAAAGGGAGAGCCAAGGAAGAGTGAACTGTTGCAAAAAGGGTGTTTTATTCTCACCCAGTTTTGTTTCTTAAGTCCCAATATATGCACCAGAAACTCCCAATACCCATTTGGCACTGGCTCTCACCAACTGTCAAGTTATGGGAAGATAGGAACCGTTTATCGGTGAACTGCAACAAGAGGCATGATTTCCCAACACCTGTGAAAAGAAAGATACAGTCATAAGCTGCTGGACTTGGAAGCAATGGGATCTATGGCAAACACTCCTGAAACGCCCTGCATTGCATCCCTTTCAGTAGAACCACTGCAGGTAAAGAGGCAGGAAAAACAGCAGTTCAGCTATGGAACCAGGATCTTGAAGTAGAACGATGAGTCTTCACACAGCTTAAACCCAAACTGATAGGCTTTTAGTGACCATCTGTGCCCTGAATTCTTTCTCTAGTGAGTAAATGGCAAAAGTAAACTCTATGGATCCCAGTAGACTTCCTCGCCTATGTCTAGAGGATCAAGTCCAGCGTGACCAGAAGTCATCGTGGATGGCAGCTCTGAATAATGAGTTGGCTGGATTCAGTCTGCCTTTGCAATTTCTGGGTGTTCTGGGTCCGGGGGCAGGGCAAGTGCTCAAGCGGCGCATTTGGGATGTCTATGCACAGCTGGGCCTAGAGAGCATAGGTAGGTCTTCAGCCACAAGGTTTTTAGCTTCCCACAAAAGGAATATTCATTTAGAGCACTACCTAACTATTCCACTTCCACTACCCTTAAGAAGAATATATACTAGGGCTAGGTTTGAACAACTCGGTATTATTATGCAAATTGGGTGCTAGTGTAACATCCCAAGAAGTGAGAGATTCTGCATATGGGGAGAACAAACAGTGGAAGATATTGAACATTTCTTCATTGACTGTCCAGCATATACTGAACTGCGAGACAGATATTTACATTTAATATTATCCAACTGCAGGTCCCTCAACTGAAATGATATTCTGACATCCCTCTTGCAAGGGCAGGAAAGATCCAACATAATCAGAGTAAGCCTTTTTATTCTGAAAGCTATTAAGAAAAGAGCAGATTTCCTGAAAGAAGAACCAGGAAAATAAGATTCTGACTATAAATAGAAGGCCAGCTGGTGTCCTCACCTTTTTGCCTTGTTTTTTTATACTTGTATTCTATTTTGAAATGGTCATATGACTGGTCAAATAAATAAATATTATTATTGAGTAAATGGAAGAACAGGGATTATTTCTAGTGCAGGGGGTGGAAAATATTTGCCTTTCCAGGTATTTTAGACTGCAGCCTCTTGCCACCAGCCATGCTGGGTAGGGCTAATAGAAGATGCATAAGAAAAAAATTGAGAAACAAAAGTTATCAATTTCTTTCTAGTAGCTTAACATTGAATGGCCCTGTCCTAATATCATAAATATTTTTTGGCTCTGGTAGAAAGAGGAACAAGAGCTCTGAATGGTGCCTGAAACAAACCAGTGACGAGAGAACTGTCTGTAGTGCCAAAAACAAAAAGGGTGTTTTTGAAGCTTCATTTCCTTGTTTTAGTAGAAGATAAACACTCAGTTTAAAATGCACTCTTTCCAATATCAGATGCATTTCAATACCGTGGAGAATCAGCAGCAGAAGGGTCTTTTTCTTTGTATGAATGTCAGCATTGGGTGCAAAACAGGGAGGATCATATGAGAAATTTCACAAAGGAAATGAAGCCAGACCTTCAGAAAACAGACCTGTCACATCAGTGTTGCAATAATTTATGAGAAAGGGGCATATGCTGACACTGTAGGACTGTTTAAATAATCTTACTGATATTTATTCCATTTTAAAGATCTATATCACAAGCCTGAGAAGATAAAATTGTAGCCAGGCAAATGGACCTTCTTTAGTTGTGGTACATTGCCTTTGGAATCTGAGCTCTCTTATCTGAACACTAGTCTCCACTACGGGTGAATTATTTCTAAATGAAATCTACTCATAAAGTTTTTTTAAAAAAATGTATTTGGCTTTTAATAGTTTTTAATGCTGGCATTATTACTGTGACATATTGCAGCAATACTACACAGCTGAGATATTTGTTATTGGTTTAAACCAGCGGTATACATCATGCCAATAGGTAGCTCTGGCATGGGCTGGTCCATGAGGTCACAAAGAGCTGGAAGAAACTGAAAAAATAAACAACAAATGCATCGTGTGGCCCTCCTGGTGTTTGGGACTCCCAACTCCCAGAAGCTCTGGCCAGCTTATCCAATGATCAGGAATTGAGGGAGTTGAGGTCCAAAACACTTGGAGGGCCACAAGTTAGGCACCAGTGGTTTAAAGCAAGAGTGGACTTCTGCCACCAGCTTTCAACAGGGGCTGGATGGCCATCTGTCAGGGGTACTTTGATTGTTTTTCCTGCATGGAAGGGGGGTTGGACTAGATGGCCCATGTGGTCTTCTCCAACTCTATTATTCTATGATGCTGTTGAACTATGATTATCAGCATTGTAGAATGTAGAAAATGGCAAGGAGAGCTAGAACTGCCCCAATATCTCAATATTGTGAGTGGATTTTTTTTTAAAAAAAAGATGGAATGAAGCCATCTTTGTATGGATTTTCACATTAACGTGTAAATGCTTAAATCAGGAGTAAATTTGATTGAGTCCACTACTTAGACCCACAAAAACCGTAATCTAGACAGAAAGATTGTAACCTGAAGAACCAAATGTCCAAAGGTTTGGAAACTAAGCTTAATGAGGAGTGTCTTAGGAAAGCTAAGCATGTTTAACTTGGGAAGAAAGAAGGCCAAGAGGGAACACGACAGCCATGTTTAAACATCTGAAAGTAGGTCACCTTGAAAGGAGGTGACATCCCCCCTCTCCTCAGGGCAGGTTTGTTTTCTGCTGGTCTACAAACTAGGACACAATGGAGCAATGGCTTCAAATTACAGGAAAAGAGATCCCACCTAAACCTTAGGAAGAACTTCCTGGCAGGAAGAGCTGTTTGGCAGTGGAATATCCTGCTGCCTGAGAGTGTGGTGGAGTCGCCTTCTCTGGAGGTGGATGGCCATTTGTCAAGAGGGCTTTGATGGGGTTTTCCTACCTGGCAGAATAGGTATAGACTGGGTGACCCTTGGGGTCTCTTTACATTCTGATTCCGTTAATGGCTCATATATTGCATTTCAGGTTTGATTAATTGTGAACAGTGCAATTTCTTTTCGTGCTTTTGAACAAATGTTTGAATGTTTCCTATGAGTGAAAAGGTGCTTTGAACGTTTCTTAGAAAACTTCAACCTCTTTCTTATTGTTTTCTCTCTGATATATGGAAGTAGAAAGTTTACTGCAGGCCTGCACAACCTAGGGCTCTTCAGGCATTTGGGACTCCACCTTTCAGAAGCCCAGAGTGTCCAATGATCAGGAATTCTGGGAGGTTAAGTGCACATTTATACATATCCTGGTCTACATCCTGGAATCATACAGTCCTGTTGGTTGCCGAAAGTCATTTCATATTTAAATGCTTTAAATATGAAAATGGGTTTCCGTGAGTTTTCTGGGCTGTATTATGGACATGTTCCAGAAGCATTCTCTCCTGACATTTCACCCACATCTATGGAAGGCATCCTCAGAGGTTCTGAGGTCTATTGGAAACTCAATAACCTCTGAGGATGCCTGCCATACATGTGGGCGAAACATCAGGAAAGAATGCTTCTGGAATATGGCCATAGAGCCAGGAAAACTCACAGCAACCCAGTGATTCCAGCCATGAAAGCCTTTGACATATGTGGTAAATGTTTATGAGGTATCATATTTAGTTTATTTAAGTCGTTTAATTTTGATAATTTTTGTTCATTTTGATTAACTATTATAAGTTTTATATTGTGATTCTTTTTTTGTTTATCTGTTTGTGTGTTGTTGAAAAAGATCTTGGAGTCCTCATGGACAGCAAGTTAAATATGAGCCAACAATGTCATGCGGTGGCAAAAAAAGCCAATGGGATTTTGGCCTGCATCAATAGGAGCATAGTGACTAGATCCAGGGAAGCCATGCTACCTCTCTATTCTGCCTTGGTTAGAGCACATCTCGAATACTGTGTCCAATTCTGGGCACCACAATTGAAGATATTGACAATCTGGAATGTGTTCAGAGAAGGGCGACTAAAATGATCAAGGGTCTGGAGAACAAGCCCTATGAGGAGTGGCTTAAAGAGCTAGGCATGTTTAGCCTGCAGAAGAGAAGACTGAGAGGAGATAGCCATGTATAAATATGTGAGGGGAAGTCATAGGGAGGAGGGAGAAAGCTTTTTTTCTGCTGCCCTGAAGACTAGGACGTGGCGCAATGACTTCAAACTACAGGAAACTAACTGTGAGAGCTGTTCAGCAGTGGAACTCTCTACCCCAAAGTGTGGTGGAAGCTCCATCTTTGGAGGCTTTTAAACAGAGGCTGGATGGGTTGGGAGTGCTTTGAACGTGACTGTCCTGCTTCTTGGCAGGGGGTTGGACTGGATGGCCCAGGAGGTCTCTTCCAACTCTGTGATTCTGATTCTCTGTTGGCATTGAACGTTTGCTTCTTTTATTGGAAACCACCCTGAGTTCCCCAGGAGAGATAAGGCGGGTGATAAATCAAGTATTATTACTACTGAAGTCCAAAACAGCCGAAAGGCCACAGGCTATGCAGGCCTGGTTTACTGTCACTAAATATCAGAAAATAAAAAAAACATTGAAGCAAACAGTGTGTGTGTGTGTGTGGGGGGGGGGTATGAACTTTGGGGTTTGGATTTAGGGTTCAGGTTAGTGTAAGTGTTATGGTAAGGGTTTGAGTAAGGGGTTAGGCTTAGGCTTATGGTATGGTTCAGGGTTAGGGTTTTACCATTAAAGAACTGGTGATAGTATGATAGCTGGGTCCAGAAGCTCCGAGTGTTATGGAGATGCCGCAAAGGGGGCTGTGAATAAGGGAAGAGGGGAGGCGGAGTGAGAGCGGGAAGAGCAAAGGAAGGATAGAAAGGAGGGGATGCTTAGGGTAAGGGTTAGGGCAAGGTTTAGGGTTACGATTAGGGTACAGTTTAGGGTTAGGTTTAGTGTTAGGGTAAGGGGTTAGGCTTAGGCTTACCGTACGGTTCAGGGTTAGGTTTTCACCATTAAAGAACTGGTGATAGTATGATAGCTGGGTCCAGAAGCTCCGAGCATTACGGAGATGCTGCAAAGGTGGTTGTGAATAAGGGAAGAGAGGGGGGTGAGAGCGGGGAAAGCGAAGCAAGGATAGAAAGGAGGGGATGCTTAGAGTAAGGGTTTGGGCAAGGTTTAGGGTTTGGGTTACAGTTAGGGTATGGTTTAGGGATTGGGTTTGCAAAAGGTTTGGGTTAGGGTAAGAGGTTAGGCTTAGGGTACAGGTTATGGTAAGGTTTAGGGTTACGCTTAGGGTACAGGTTAGGGTAAAGGGTCAGGCTTAGAGTACAGGTTACGGTAAGGTTTAGGGTTTGGGTAAGGGTTTGGGCTTAGGGTACAGATTAGGGTAAGGTTTAGGGTTTGGGTAAGGGGTTAGGCTTAGGGTACAGGTTAGGGTCAGGGGTTCGGTTTAGGGTACAGGTTAGGGTAAGGTTTAGGGTTTGGGTAAGGGGTCAGGTTTAGGGTACAGGTTACGGTAAGGTTTAGGGTTAGGGGTTAGGCTTAGGGTACAAGTTAGGGTTAGGGGTTAGGCTTAGGTTACAGGTCAGGGTAAGGTTTTGGGGTTGGGCTTAGGGTACAGGTTACGGTAAGGTTTAGGGTTAGGGGTTAGGCTTAGGGTACAAGTTAGGGTTAGGGGTTAGGCTTAGGTTACAGGTTACGGTAAGGTTTAGGGTTTGGGTAAGGGGTTAGGCTTAGGGTACAGGTTAGGGTCAGGGGTTCAGCTTAGGGTACAGGTTAGGGTAAGGTTTAGGGTTTGGGTAAGGGGTCAGGTTTAGGGTACAGGTTATGGTAAGGTTTAGGGTTAGGGGTTAGACTTAGGGTACAAGTTAGGGTTAGGCTTAGGTTACAGGTTACGGTAAGGTTTAGGGTAAGGGGTTGAGCTTAGGGTACAGGTTTTAGGGTTAGGGTTAGACTTAGGGTAAGGCTTAGGTTACAGGTTTCGGTAAGGTTTAGGGTTTGGGTAAGGGGTTAGGCTTAGGGTACAGGTTAGGGTAAGGTTTAGGGTTTGGGTAAGGGGTCAGGTTTAGGGTACAGGTTACGGTAAGGTTTAGGGTTAGGGGTTAGGCTTAGGGTACAAGTTAGGGTTAGGGGTTAGGCTTAGGTTACAGGTCAGGTTTAGGTAAGGGGTTAGGCTTAGGGTATGGTTCATGATAAGGGTATGGCTTAGGGTCTCACTATTAAAGAACTCTTACATTCCTTCTATATTATCTGTCTCCGGCCTGACTTACATTCACTAAGTCTCTCTTGCGCAAACAGCTTCCGGACCCAGCTATCATACTATTACCTTGGGCCCTACAGGTGTTTTGGACTTCAGCTCCCACCATTCCTAACAGCCTCTGGCCCTTTCCTGGAAGGGGCCTGAGGCTGTTAGGAATGGTGGAGGTTGAAGTCCAAAACACCTGAAGGGCTCAAGTTGGCCCATGCCTGTTCCAAAACCAGCCTCTTCTCTTGTGAGGCCTTCTCACAGTGTAGAAGGCCCCTGTCCTTCCCCAAGCAGGCCCCCCGCCCCTCCCATACCCGAGTCCCCGATGACGATGTATTTGAACAGGTAGGCGTAGGCCATGGCTGCCCGGAGCCCCTGGGAACTGGATCTCTGCCTACTCCTCTCGCGCTTCCTATTTCAAAGCCGTGGCTCTGACCCGCCCTCTTCCTTCCCGGCGCTTGGCTTCTTCCCTTTCCGGTGCCTTCGCCTTCATGACGGCAGCCCCTGGTGGACTTCCGGCGGCACTCTAGGGCATCTCTTCTGGGCCGCCTCTATTCCTCCTTGTGTTGACTCCGCCCACTCCTTTGGTCTGGCTGCTCTATTGCGTCACATCCGGGGGAGAGGGGAAAGGGAATGCCGAGCTCCAGCCTCGAAGCCGTTATTTAGACTCTTTGACGTCACATCCTGGGAATGCCGAAAGCGCTCTCCTGCCTCAGAATGGCAGCGCGCGCGGCCCTCCGGCCTCCCTTTTTCTCTCAGTCGCCTTAACGGTCCGAGCGAGTGAGGAAGGCAGAGAAACACGGCCTCCCTCCTCTCACCGCCGCCAACTCCCAGCCCAGAAAGCAGGGAAGGAAGAGTTAAGGCCGCCTCAGGAAAGGGCCGTGTGCAAAACGTCGGGCGGAAGTGACGTTCCCTGCCGGCCTTCGTTTGGGTGGGCGGAAGAGGCGGAAGAGACTTCCGTTTCCGGGAGAGGCACTGGAGGGGGAGGAGGAGGGGGAGAGAGAGTCGAGCGGGGTCTCCCCGCTCTCCCTGCTCTGGAGCTTCCTTCGCCGCGGCCATGGAGGTGAGGGGGCCTCGGGGACGGGGAGAGGGCCTCCCAGGGGCCGTTTGAGTGTCTCTGTCTCGTTACTGCCTCCACCTATGGTCTCCTATGGACTCCTCTGCCTTGAAACCAGCATGGGTGGAAGCCCCACGCATTCATTCATCCATCCATTCATTCAGACAGGGCGAATCCAGTGAGGACGAATACAGGTTGACTATCCCTTGTCTGAAATGTATTTGGAATTTACTTCTGGTCCCTAACATTTCAGACAAGGGATAGTCAACCTTTATTCCTCCCCACTGGATTCGCCCTGTCTGAATGAATGCATGGGACCAGAAGTATTTGGAATTTCATAGATCGATAAATCGTAAATATGCATACATACATATCTTATGGACTTGGGAATTCATAAGGCTTTCCCCCGACATGTAAGGGATCAGGATTCCTCAGTTCATCTTGATTACTTTTCATCTTTAGGTTATTGTGGGTTTTTTCCGGGCTATAGGGCCATGTTCTAGAGGCATTTCTCCTGACGTTTCGCCTGCATCTATGGCAAGCATCCTCAGAGGTAGTGAAGTCTGTTGGAAATAGGAAAATGGGTTTATATATCTGTGGAATGACTGGGGTGGGGCAAAGAGCTCTTCTCTGCTGAAGCTAGGTGTGAATGTTTCAGCTGACCACCTTCATTCGCATAGAAATCAGCCATAGCAGAGTACCTGATGAACCAGCCTGGACACAGCATATTATTTGAGAACACAGAAATGCTGGACCACTCCAACAACCACCATGTCAGACTACACAGAGAAGCCATTGAAATCTACAAGGATGTATTTGGAATTTACTTCTGGTCCCTAACATTTCAGACAAGGGATGTTGTTGTTCATTCGTTCAGTCGTCTCCGACTCTTCGTGACCTCCTGGACCAGCCCACGCCAGAGCTCCCTGTCGGCCGTCACCACCCCCAGCTCCTTCAAGATCAAGCCAGTCACTTCAAGGATGCCATCCATCCATCTTGCCCTTGGTTGGCCCCTCTTCCTTTTTCCTTCCATTTTCCCCAGCATAATTGTCTTCTCTAAGCTTTCCTGTCTCCTCATGATGGCCAAAGTACTTCAACTTTGTCTCTAGTATCCTTCCCTCCAATGAGCAGTCGGGCTTTATTACCTGGAGGATGGACTGGTTGGATCTTCTCGCAGTCCAAGGCACTCTCAGAACTTTCCTCCAGCACCACAGCTCTAAAGCATCTATCTTCCTTCGCTCAGCCTTCCCTAAGGTCCAGCTCTCACATCCGTAGGTTCTACAGGGAATACCATGGCTTTGACTATGCGGATCTTTGTTGCCAGTGTGATGTCTCTACTCTTCACTATTTTATCGAGATTGGTCATCTCTCCTCCCAAGAAGGAAACAGCTTCTGATTTCCTGGCTGCAGTCTGCGTCTGCAGTAATCTTGCACCTAGAAATACAAAGTCTGTCAACGCCTCCACATTTTCTCCCTCTATTTTCCAGTTGTCAATCATTCTTGTTGCCATAATCTTGGTTTTTTTGACATTTAGCTGCAACCCAGCTTTTGCGCTTTCTTCTTTCACCTTGATTAGAAGGCTCCTCAGCTCCTCCTCGCTTTCGGCCATCAGAGTGGTGTCATCTGCATATCTGAGGTTATTGTTTCTTCCAGCAATTTTCACCCCAGCTTTGCATTCATCAAGCCCCGCACATCGCATGATGTGTTCTGCATACAAGTTAAAAAGGTTGGGTGAGAGTATGCAACCTTGCCGTACGCCTTTCCCAATCTTGAACCAGTCTGTTGTTCCGTGGTCAGTTCTTACTGTTGCTACTTGGTCCTTGCACAGATTCCTCAGGAGAGAGACAAGGTGGCTTGGGATGCCCATCCCACCAAGAGCTTGCCACAGTTTATTATGATCCACACAGTCAAAGGCTTTGACAAGGGATAGTCAACCTTTATTCCTCCCCACTGGATTCGCCCTGTCTGAATGAATGCATGGGACCAGAAGTATTTGGAATTTCATAGATCGATAAATCGTAAATATGCATACATACATATCTTATGGACTTGGGAATTCATAAGATAAAGGTTTTCCCCTGACATGTAGGGATCCGGATTCCTCACTTCATCTTGATTACTTTTCATCTTCCTTGGAAACAGGTTCATATGGTAAAGGTAAAGGTTTCCCTTGACATTTAAGTCTAGTCGTGTCCGACTCTTGGTTGTTGGTGCTCATCTCCATTTTTTAGCCGAACAGCTGGTGTTGTCCGTAGACACCTCCAAGGTCATGTGGCCATGGATCGCCGTTACTTCACTTCTTTGCTTCACTTCATTTTATTTCTTAATTAGTCGCTCTCCACCAAGGTGCTCCAAGCGACTTAAAATTTAAAATAGCATTTCACAATATAAAACATTCAACATAAAAACCTTTAGCAGTGACTATTTGGCAAATTTGATCTGATTACTTAAATGCACAACCAAACAGCCTTGGGTGCTTTTACAAAAGGTCCCAACTCCGACATTGCTCTAACATATGGAGGCAATGAGTTCCACAAAATTGGAGAATAGATCGAAAAAGCTCTACCTTTCCGCAAGAGCGGTACCGATTGATCTACTCATATTTGCATGGTTTTGATCTGCTGGGTTGGCAGAAGCTGGGCCTAACAGCGGGAACTCTTGCCACTCCCCAGATTTAAACCTGCAACCTTTTGGTAAGCAAGTTCAGCAGCTCAGCGGTTTAACCCACTGTGCCACCTGGGGAATTTATATCTATACATAATAAGGTACTTTGGAGAACCAGAACACAGAACACAAAATCCAATGGGGCTCAGTACAGATAGAGCATGCACAGGCAAATTTCACCACCCCAGATGTTTTCGTCTCCAACTCGTATACTTGCTAACAGCCGGTAGGCTGTTAGGAATTATGGGAGTTGGAGACCAAAACACCCGGAGGGCCGAAGTTTGCCCATGTCTGAGGTAGAGTCTCCTTTGTCTAAAATATCTGGGAGCAGAAGTCTTTGGGATACAATACGCACACACATATATAGTGTGTTTGTATGTTTATATTGTAACCTAGCTGTTCAAAAACATGCAAATGTGAGTAGATCAATAGATACCGCTCCGGCAGGAAGGTAATGATGCTCCATGCAGTCATGCCGGCCACATGACCTTGGAGGTGTCTATGGACAACGCTGGCCCTTCGGCTTAGAAATGGAGATGAGTACAACCCCCCAGAGTCAGACACGACTGGACTTAATGTCAGGGGAGAACCTTTACCTATTTATATATGGAGCTCCCAGTGGAAACAGGGAAATAGGGCGAAATGGTTTTATTCCTTCAAACCCCCTAAAATGGATTATCTTTTTCTGTCTAGGCCCCCTTTTCAGCTCCGCCCAGGTAATAGAACACTACTGAAAATGGAATTTATTTATATTGTACATATACATGGCCGTATTTTTGAATAATTTTGTGTATGGAACAAAGCTTGAATGCACTGAAATCACCAGAAAGCACAGGCTGTCACTACATCAGCTATCCATGTGAACAATTTTGGATTGTTTGGTATTTCATCATTCTGGATAAGAGATACTCAATTCATAGATGGGAAGCAGGTCATTCTACTCTTGAATACAGGGAAATGTACAGCAGGGATAAGAATCCTGGTGTTGTCAGACTTCAAGTGCCGGATTCCTCACCATTGAATCTTCTGGGGCAGTTAGGGCTGATGGGTTGTGCCAACCAACAACTTTGGGAGGGCTCCACGACAGCCACTCCTCGTGTATTATATGTGGGAATGAGGAGGGGTTGCTAGCATTTGCCCTAGAAGAAATCTGGTTTTCCTACGGACTATCATCTACTTTCATGATTCGGAGCCTTTAGCCCTCCAGTGTCATTATTGCCTCCACAGCCATCATATGAGGCGCCATTTAATTCTCAGAAGTACTGACTAATATGACAAGGTTCAAAGATCTCTGGGTATTTAAAACAAAATTAATTATTGAGCCAGAAAAATATAGGAAATACCCATCTGTCTATAGAGGTAGTTGGTTTGCACATCTCTTCAGCCTTAGCCAGGACATCCCACTTCTGTGGGATGATGAGGGTTGCAATATTTCAGCATCTGGAGGGGCAGTTTCTCCTCACTTTGATCTGTTCCTTTTAGTAACTATCTTGAAACTCCAACAATGCCTTTAAAATCAATGTGGTACTTGCTAGTTTCATCTACCTCTTTCAACAGTAACTATGATTTATTGCATGTTTTGGAAGAGTGACGTAGAGCCGGGCCATCAGATTGGGTCCATATAATCCAGAAAAGTCCCAACGCATTGCCTAGAAGTAGCAGCCCCCATCCAGCATGTCTTCTAGCTGCAGAAGTGTCATTTGATTGTGGTTTATAGTCATGATTGAACCCTATCCTCTGGATTCCTCCCTTCTGGATCAAGAAACCAGAATGTTGGGGTTGAATGAAGGAAAGAGAAATAAGTACTGTAGGATTCGAAGAAGGGACTGACCAAATGGATAAAAGGTTAAAAGCCATAAGAAACATTGTGGGAAAGAGTGTGTAACCACTAAAGTTTGTCATTTGAAGAGACAAGAAAGGTGGAGAAGATCCTGTAGAGAGTAGAGATAATATAGGTTTATTTGACTGAAATATTGTAAAGCTGTGATGATTGGTGGGAATGTGAAGTAAAAACTGGAATGATACAGGTATATCAAGGCCTGGAGGATGGTGTGAACCCATATCCATTATTTTGTAGTGTATTTATATATATTTGTAAAACATTTTGTTGTTATGTGCCTTCAAGCCCAACTTCTGGTAACCTGTCATTGTGAGTTGACAAGATCTAAAGAGTGTGACTTGCCCAAAATCATCCAGTGGCTTTCCATGACTGAGTTGGGGTTTGAAACATGGAATGCCAGAGCCCCAGTGCAGTACTCAAACTATTGCACATTTTAAAAAAACTTTTCATTCACCCATTAGTGGCAGTGTCATCTCGACTGAGTGCAAACAAGAGGGTGAATGGATATCTCTTGGATAAAATAAATGAATCTTGAATTCTTTCACTCCTTGATGCTAGAGGAACTTTTGTGTCAGCTGTTTATTGATATTTTTGTTGTAGCCAGCATTGCTCATTTTGTCTTGTTACCCATCCCATATAGGCTGAATTGCCATTTTCAAACCCTTTAACGGGGTTGATGTTCATCCAGTTGAGCAATGCAGCTTTGGAAAACTTTGCCACAAGGATATGCTCAGGAGTACATTTTTGGGTGGAGATAGAAGTGCTGTCTGACTTGCATTTATTGGAAGACAACTTGGGATTCAGTGATGACTGGGGCATGAAAACTGAATGTGGTGGATTTTATTTTGTTCCAATGGAGTTTTATGCACAAGGCCAGTGTGTATTTCACTCACTGTTTGAAGTGGCAGGAAACTGTTTTGTCTTTGACAATGAATGTGTTTGTAGTTGCATAGAGACAACTTCACTGGCATCCTAGAGTACATTATTATCTTTTAAGTCCATATTCCGGTCAGGTCCTTGCTACAGGACATCTTCCTGTGATGTTGCAAGACAACTACAATATGCCCTTTTCCATTCTACATTGCAAAACCATTGTGGTGAAGTAGTTGGACTTTGAAGTGGAAGATCTAGGATCAAATGTCCTCTATCCATAATTCTGTGTCTTTTATGTACAGGATTTTTTAAAGCAGAAGTTGGATGGTCATCTGTCAGGAGTGTTTTGATTGTATTTTTCTGCATTAGAATAATAGAACCATAGAGTTAGAAGAGACCTAATGGGCCATCCAGTCCAACCCCATTCTGCCAAGAAGCAGGAAAATCTCATTCAAAGCAACCTCAACAGATGGCCATCCAGCCTCTGTTTAAAAGCCTCCAAAGAAGGAGCCTCCACCACACTCCGGGCAGAGAGTTCCACTGCTGAACAGCTCAGAGGGATTGGATGGCCTTTTATGTCTCTTCCAATTCTATGATTCTGTGATTGTTAAAGTAGATAAAGTGGAGAGGAATATTACTGTATGTGTACACTATAATCTAATTGGAGGAAAGGCAGAATATAAATCCAGCAAATAAGATCTTTAATTGTAAGATACTGGAATCTCTTTTCATTTCCCTCATATCCTTTTGCTCTCCTCTGACGTTAGCAACAGAGGACATCAGAACCTGCATTACTGATCCTTCAGTATATCAAATATGGTCTGAATATCTGGGGTCTTTCAGATAATTTTGGCTGCAGGTCCTGTCACTCATAGTCATCGTGGCCAGTGGTCAGACCTGTTAGGAATTGTCAGACACATCTTATGAATATTAGGCTAGAAAAAGGTGACCTTTTCATTAATACAACACATTTTGGATGCAGCTGTCCCTTGTATTCTCCTGCTGACACACTTCAATCATGGGCTGATGCTCATCAGCCTCCCATGGCGAACTCCAAGATTGAAAGATGCTGCAAAGAACCAGTGAAATCTACACCTGCCTTTGTGTGTCAGGCATGTCCTAGAAGCCATTTGTTGAGCCAAGTTGAAAACGTGATAGCCGTTCCAAGTGTATGGGGCAGTGAGCAAGAAGGGCTGAAGTTGAATTCACAGAATGTATATTTCAAGTATGATAGTTTGGCTTGTGTGATGATGGGTTCGAAGTAGGACCAGGAAGGCTAAAGTTTGAATTCTCAACTGGTGGACATGAAGGTTCATAGATGTCCTAGGCCAATTGCTATATCTCAGCCTAGCACACCTCACACGGGGATGGAAAAATCAGACATTCTGGATTGGGTCCCTTGGAGAAAGAATGAAAGTAGAGGAAAAATCAAGTCTTACATGCTTTGTAAAAGATCACAAGGGACTACTTCATGTATGAGTAGGATCTTACCTTGCTGTGGATTTCTGATGTGTTTTAGCATCTTTGTGGCGGTGAATAAGGAGATCTAATTGCACATTAATGTTCTCTTTTCTTTAAGTTCCCTGGAGGAAATGAGAATTACCTGGCAATCACTGGGACAGCCCATCCCTTCTTGTCAGGAGCTGAGGTGAGTTGGATCCCATAAAGGGTGGGTTGCAGGGGATGCGGAAGGGATCAGTGCAGGATACAAAGCATCTGTGCCAAATGAGAAGAATCAGGGAGATTCTGCCATCTGAGGCTCAGTAGTAGAGACATGGTCAATCCCCAGTTTTGTCCTTGGGTCCTCAGTTTGAAAGGATTGCATTGAAAGTCACATGAAAGGGCTCTTCCCTGTCTTATAGCATGGCAAGATTAACAAACAAATCTAAGGACCTAGGAGAGTTAAGGATGAATGGGTTGTGGAGGCTTTTGGGTGAATCACAGATATTCAGTTACAGTCATTTGGTGGAGCGGGGATTAAAATGAGTAATTCTAGCCCAGAATAAACAATATTGGTTTAGATGAGCAGTATATAACTAGGCTTAAACGCCTTCTGAGGTTTCTATGTCTAAATTAATCTTTCTCTCCTGGCCCACTCAGACTTTCCACACACCAAGCTTGGGGGATGAAGAGTTTGAGATCCCTCCCATTGCGCTGGACGCCGACCCTTCCCTGGCTGTCGCTGATGTCGTTGGACATTTTGACGACTTGGGCGACCCTGTGACTGCTCCAGATGCCACCTTCTCAGCCCAGTATGGGGTGCAGGCACTTGACATACCCGTGGGCATTAGCCACAGCCTCATGGAGCAAAGCGGAGGGCTGTTGAGCAGTGGGTTGTCCATGGTGAGTCTACAGTTCTTTGTTTCTTTGGAAGATGACCTGAACACAAAGAGTGCTGTTGGAAGGCATTGTGAGCACAGTTATCTGTTTATACGGCTAACAGATAGCAGGGCATCTTCCTATTCATATTGGGTTTGAGAATAACTGCATGGCTTTGTACAATTGCCTGCTTTTCTTATGTGCCCTCTGGCATAAATAGACGTTTTAAGAAAAGATGGGATCTGTACACAGATGACGTACAACTCTATCACTCCTTTCCACCTGCTGCTAAGGAGGCCGTTTGGGTGGCTGTGACAATCTGGATGAGGGCGAACAAATTGAAATTGAATCCAAACAAAATGGAGGTACTCCTGGTCAGTTGGAAGGCTGAGCACGGTATAGAATTACAGCCTGTGCTGGATGGGGTTACACTCCCCCTGAAGACATAGGTTCGCAGTTTGCCCAATTAAAACTTGTGCACCAGTTGCACCCGTGTCTTAGAAAGTCAGACTTGGCCACGGTGGTCCATGTTCTTCTTACATCCTGAATAGACTACTGCAACATGCTCTATGTGGGGTTGCCTTTGAAAACAGTTCGAAAGCTCCAAGTAGTCCAACGGGTGGCAGCTCAACTGGCTGCCGGTTTCTCTACCGGGCTCAATTCAGAGTGCTTGTTTTGACCTATAAAGCCCTAAATAGTTCTGATCCGACTTACCTGTCTGAACACATCTCCCTTTATGAGCCAACTAGAGCTTTAAGATCTGCTAGGGAGGCCCTGCTTTCGGTCTCACCCCTTTCACACGGGTGACTGGTGGGAATGAGAGACAGGGCCTTCTCAGTGGTGGCCCCTTGGCTGAGGAGCTCCCTCCCCAGTGACATTAGATTGGCTCCATCCCTCCTGGTCTTAAGACCTGGCTTTGTGCACAAGCATTTGGAGAATAGGGTAACGGAATTTGATTTTAACCTTGAAATCCGATTAATGTCCATGGAACACTTTGAAACTTGGAAATTATGATTCAGCACTTTTGTTATGTTTTAATCTGTTTTATTGCTTTATATATTTTAACTGTTTATATGCTTTACTTGTTTTATAATTGAATGTGGTGTGTTTATTTTATTTGTATGGAATGGCATTGAATTTTTGCTGCAGTTTGTAAAGCCGCTCTGAGTCCCTTTTGGGGTGAAAGGGCAGGGTATAAATAAAGTAAATAAATAGATAAATCTGTCTCTAATCTCAGCCTAAATAAAATCATATGAAGGAAAACAGGAGAGCAGTCTCCTGCTACTTTTGTATATTCAGTTAAAAGACATATGCATGCCTTCCTTCCTTCTTAAAGCTATCTCCATGACTTGAGTTGTGTTTCCTTTTTTATCCTTCACTCCTTCAGGACTTGGATCATCCCATGGGGACTCAGTATAGCGCCAATCCACCCGTCACCATCGACGTGCCTATGACCGACATCGGCTCCAGCCTCATGGGACATGGGCAGCTGACCACCATTGACCAGTCAGAACTCAGCTCTCAGCTGGGCCTCAGCCTGGGAGGTGGATCCATCCTACCTCCTGCGGCCCAGTCTCCTGAGGAGCGGCTCTCCCCAACTCCCTCACCTGCCAGTTCCATGCCTGAGGAGGAACCAGAAGAGATCAGGCGGGTGAGTCTTAGCCTGTTTGCTGCAGTGGGGTTCTGTGGAAGCCCAGTTTAACCACACCGTGTCTTTGCACATTATGCCCGTTGCTGGTATTGGTAGCATGCATCAAGTGTAGCATGCACCAGGAGCCCCCGTTGGCGGAGTGGGTTAAACTGCTGAGCTGCTGATTTTGCTTACCAAAAGGTCGCAGGTTCGAATCTGAGAAGCGGTGTGAGCTCCCGCTTTCAGCCCTAGCTTCTGCCAACCTAGCAGTTCGAAAACATGCAAATGTGAGTAGATCAATAGGTGCCGCTTGTGTGGGAAGGTAACGGCACTCCATGCAGTCATGCCGGCCACACGACCTTGAAGGTGTCTATGGACAACACCGGTTCTTTGACTTAGAAATGGAGATGAACACCAACACCCAGAATCGGACACGACTGGACTTAATGTCAGGGGAAAACCTTTAACCTTTATCAAGTGTTGGCCTAAAGATTAAAGAAATGCAACGGAAAATACTGACAAAATGATACAGAACTGGCACATATTATGAAAATGTGCCCAAAATTACTGTAGAAAAATAGGAACATACGCCCACATGTAGTGGGAATGCGAAAAAATCCAAAAGTTCCAAGAAATAATCAGGAAGGAAATGGAGGAGCTATTAGGGATAAATATACAACAGAACAAGACTCAATTTTTCACCCAGAAATTGGAAAGTAAAGGGAAATATAAAGAAAGTGAGGAAATAATAAAACATGATGGAGGCAATCAAAGCCTCAGTGGCCCTGGGCTGGAAGGACCACAAGAAATGGGATATAAAAACTTGGTATAAATATCTAGCCGATTACCTTCTCCAAGATTATATTAGTGAAAGGAAAAGTTACTATACGACGGATCAAAGCAGAAGGACATGGGAAGCAAAATGAAAGGGTCTCATATACAGAATAAAGGGGAAAGATAAATATACGGTGTTAAATCAGACTATTCTCATGACTGAACAATTGTAATAAACACAGCAAAAGTACTTAACTGTTCCTGGGCGCTGGGATGGTGGTGTTGTGGTGGTGGTGGGATTGGGGAAAATACTGGTATTTTGAATGTTAATTTCAAAGATGGTATGTTTCTATGTATTATATAATAAATAAATAAAAACAAGAAAAAAAGTGTTGGCCAGGGTAGCATGGAGTAAATTGTTTTGTTATTGCTTTTATTCTCAGCAGTCTTGCCTGCCTGGAACCTTTCCTAACTTTGTTTGTCTCTGTCTTACAGCAGGTTTCTATTGCTAAGCCAACTATCACAGCGTCTATAGTGCCCATGCAGGTTACACTTCCCACAGTGGTTCTGGAAGCAGCAAAAAAGCAGAAACCAACCAAGAAGCAGAAAAAAAAGAAAGACCCCAACGAGCCTCAGAAGCCCGTCTCGGCTTATGCCTTATTCTTCCGCGACACTCAGGCAGCCATCAAGGGGCAGAACCCCAAGGCCACCTTTGGCGAAGTCTCCAAGATCGTGGCCTCCATGTGGGACAGCTTGGGGGAGGAACAGAAGCAAGTATGTATTCTGAGGGTGCAGCAGAATAAAAACTGAGAAAGATGTAGGACTCTGTGATGACAAAAGAGTTGGGGATGGAGAAAACCGAAGAGTTGATAAGGAAGCCATGTTTGCAGAGCTGCAAGAAGGAGACCTTTGAGAGGTCTTGATCATATGAAGCATGTCTTCCGTAGCATAGATGGGAAATGTGGGAACTGCCAGCTCTTTTTGGACTGCAACACCCATTATTTCCAGCAATTATTCATTGTCATCTGGGGCTGGTTGGAGTTGTAATAAAAAATATCTGAAGGCTGAATACTTACAGATCACGCATATTTACGTTCTATAACTCTAATAAATCACTGAGGGAAACCAAAGAGCTGTGGACTGTGTCCTAGTGCAGGTTGTTTAACGAACAGCAAATGTTTGCAGTTTAAAGAGTTGCAGTTGCATTCTCTGCAACAGCTCCCCTTTTCCCTTGCAGGTGTACAAGAGGAAAACAGAGGCAGCAAAGAAAGAATATTTAAAAGCATTGGCAGCCTATCGTGACAACCAAGAGTGCCAGGTAAGAGGGATTGCCTTCCTGCCTTTGCCTATTTGGGGGTCAGCTTGTGTGATTCTGTACCAGGCATGGGCACACTTTGGCCCTCTAGGTGTTTTGGACTTCAACTCCCACAATTCCTGGCCTCAGGCCCCTTCCTTTCCCCCCTCAGCCGCTTAAGCTTAACTTGATTTTTATACCCCGCCAACCATCTCCCCTTGGGGACTTGGGGCGGCTTATAAGGGACAAGCCCAAAATTACAAGTAAAACACAACCAATTAAAAACATCAGATAAAATAAAAAACAAACACAATTGTAAACAACATCAAAACAATATGGCTGAGAAAAAAAGAACATAGCTGAGGTACAGACTCACTGAGTGCAATACATTTATTTATTATTTTATTTATTTACGGCATTTATATGCTGCTCTTCTCACCCCGAAGGGGATTCAGAGCGGCTTACAAGATATATTTTCATACAATATATTATATTATTAGCATAGTGCAATATCAGTATTATATATTACTATATTGCACTATACTATTATATTGTAATATTATTAGTAATGTTACATGTAATGTAAATATATAATTATAAGTATAATATTGTATTATTAATACTAGTATTATATTGTATTACATTATAATATTATAAAATATGTATATACAATATACTATATTATATTATTAGTAAAGACAAGATGGAGCGCAAGGAAAATGCAACAATCAAATAGATAGGGCTGGAAATGTCATCAAACATGTTGAGGTAGACCATAAGAGGGCTGGTGTAAAGTGCTGAACTTAAAGTAGGGACAGGAAAATTACTGGTGGACTGTTTAATCAAAAGCACACCGGAACATCCAGGTTTTTAGTAGACTCCAGAAAGAGGACAAAGTGGGAGCCTGTCTGATCTTCCTAAGGAGGGAGTTCCAGAGCTAGGGGGCCACCACCGAGAAGGCCCTCTCCCTCATCCCCACCGAAAGCAAGGAATAACTGAGAAAGGATTAATTGGGAAAATATACAATGGATTCATAGGAAAGGAAATAGGACTGAAGCTGTTAGAAAAAGTATGGGAAGGAGATCTAGGGTCTCTGATGGATCTTGCTTGGAAAAGGATTTTAAAGTGGAGAGTGGTTAAGAATTGGTTATTAAGATTAAAAGAATATGTGTACAAAGTCATATGGAGATGGTATACCACACCAGTTAAATTACACCAGATGGATAAGCAACAAAGTAACCTCTGCTAGAGATGTGGCATGCAAAAAGGGACATTTCTAATTTGTGGTGGAAATGCCCCCAGTTGAAGAGATTTTGGAACAATATATTTAGGGAAATAGGTAACATTATAGGACTAAACATTACTCCGGATGCTAAGTTGGCATTACTAATGGCACTACAAAGTTAAATTTAGAAATGAAAAAGAAAGAATGGATTATTTTACTCATAGTGTCAAGACTTGTAATTGCAAGGAATTGGAATATAGTAACCAATCTCACGTTAGAAGCATGATATGGGGAGGTATGGAATGTCGCCTTAAATGATAAACTATCAATGGAAATGAGGGTGTTCAGGTGGGAAACTAATAGATCAGAATTTGATTAATACTGTTTGGTTTTTATTAAATAGGTTATAGAGAGTAAAAAAGAAAACAACACAACTTTGTTGTTCAGGAATTTTGGATATGGCGTTTGTTTATTGGTTGACTCAAAATGTCCACTTTTTTGTGTTCTGTTTACACTGTAAACTGTTAATGTATGAAAATAAAATTTATTTATTTATTTATTTTAAAAGGAAACATGACAGTGATGGCTGACTCCCTCAGATGGCATTGGTGCTTTTGCTTCTCTGTAGAATGACTGTTGACTTATCCGGAGTTGTAGTCACCTTGAGGGGGTGGGGGTTGGTGAGAAAGGCAGATACATAAATTATCCAGGAGTCGTGTTAAAATCCATAATTTTGGCCTTCAACCCAGCATTCGAGTTGTTATTGATGAAGACCCAAGTTGAACAAGTAGAGTGTCCCTCTCATTTTTGACTCAGTTTTCCACTTTCTTCTTCCCAGACGGTTGTCGAAACAGCAGAGCCGGATCCAGTCTCCTCACCGCCTGAGCAGGTGGCCCCAGTTGTGGAGTCCACTTCTCCGGCTCCGGTGCTGCCTACCCCACCGTCCCTCGAGAGCCCCCCACCTCCTCCGACCATCGTCTCCACCCAGCCCACCGTGGTGGTGACCTCTAGCGCGGGGCCCCAGGTGGCCGGCCAAACCAGCATTACCAAGATCATCATCCCCAAGCAGATGCTGCCCTCCTCGTTGGCGGTGTCATCACAAGGGGGTGTGGTGACAGTTATCCCCGCCACCATGGTGACCTCGCGGGGCATCCAGCTGGGGCAGCTGCAGGCCGGGACGGGAACCACCCAGATTGTCACCCGGTCAGTGCTGGCCGCAGCTGCCGCAGCAGCAACATCCATGCATCTTCCACGCCTCCAGCCCCCACCCCTTCAGCAGATGCCCCAGCAGCCCCCGACCCAGCCGGTCACCATCCTGCAGCAGCCTCCACCCCTCCAGGCCATGCAGCAGCCCCCCTTCCAGCAAAAGGTGCGCCTCAACCTCCAGCAGCCTCCGCCCCCCTTACAGATCAAGATCCTGCCCCCGCCTGCCCTGCAGATCCAACCCATTGCCCTGCGGACAGAAGAGAGCAGCCCTGAGAGGCCCAGCACTGAGCTTCAAACGTCTCCAGAGGCTGTGGATGTGGTGCCAGAGGTGAGGAGAGCTGGGAATGCTTGGTAGGCTGGTGAGAAGGGAGGGAAAATAAAAACATAGAGGTTAATCAACACTGCCTTTGAGTATATGCTGGTGTCTGGTTTTCACCAGCCTATTATTATTATTATTATTATTATTATTATTATTATTATTAGCATTTATATTACGCCTTTCTCACTCCGAAGGGGACTCATGGCAGACGACAACATATATATGGCAAACTTTCAATGCCAGAATATAAAATAAGCTAAACATAAACACTACAACTACTTTATCATCTCCACTTTAGAATCAATTGTTTTAAACCATCTCAAATCGGCCATACTGAATCTGGTCAGTAGAGTAAAGATTCTCATTGTTGCCTTATTATATCAATGATGAGTGATGATTTCTAATACTGATAATTTTTGTGGTTATGGTAGAAATAGGAATAATTCATTGCCTTTAATGGGCCTACAGGTTGTTGGGAAAAATTACCCTAAAATATAGCAGAGCATCTAAAAAACAAAACAAAAAAAAGGCACTTAAAATTGAGCATTCCGCTCATTAACGAGCAAAGTGTGAAGTGCCGTGTGATGTGCCTGGAAAGAATTCAGAGCTTAGGAGGCAAACATGCAGGGTCCAATCTTTAAAAAATCACAAAAGGTTTATTTACAATGATGAATAATTGCATTTCTTAATAATCAAGAACTGGGTCTGAGCTACTCTTAACACCCATCTCGTCTAAGGTTTCAAAGAGAGGGGAAAACATAATCACTACATCTCTCCTGACACACAAGCAGAGAGAGATCTCAAAGCACACAGCACATACTCTCCATAGTAAAATGTAAGAAGGCAGAAGTTAGATTCAAAAAGCTTGCAGTAGCGAAGTATCAATTTTAAACAACCAATCCGAATTGGACCAGAAACAGAGAGGAGAGATTAGATACATTCCCAACTGTCATTCAAGAGATGTCATTCTATAGTAGTGGTTCCCAACCTTTTTTTGACCAGGGACCACTCTTCAACATTATTAATGAAAGGGCTATGAATCAGTTTTTGGCCTCCTTTAGATTTGGTCTGATTATTTGGGGTGCTGATTCAAAAAATTGCAATGGATAGACCGCAACAGCTCTAGTTTCTGATACAGAACATTTTATTTATTTATTATGACATTTATATGCCATCATCCTCACCCTGAAGGGGATTCAGAGCGGCTTATAGACAATATATTGTAATATTATTAGTTATATTACATGTAATATAAAATATATTATAATAATATTGTATTACTGTTAGCATTACATTGTAGTATATTATAATGAACTGTGGTGCTGGAGGAAAGTTCTGAGGGTGCCTTGGACTGCAAGAAGATCCAGCCAGTCCATACTTCAGGACATAAAGCCCGACTGGTCATTGGAGGGAAGGATAGTAGAAGCAAAGGAAGTACTTTGGCCACATCATGAGGAGCCAGGAAAGCTTAGAGAAGACAATCATGCTGGGGAAAGTGGAAGGAAAAAGGAAGAGGAGCCTACCAAGGGCAAGAAGGATGGATGGGATCCTTGAAGTGACTGGATTGACTTTGAAGGACCTGGGGGTGGTGACAGCGGACAGGGAGCTCTGGAGTGGGCTGGTCCATGAGGTCACGAAGAGTCTGAAACGACTGAACGATGAATAACAACAACAACATTGTATTATTGTAACAATACAACATGTATTGTATTATATTATTAGTAAGGCTCAGGAGACAAGATGGAACAGTATTCTGCCCCCCTCCCCTTCACTCTGCCCAGAGCAGCTGTTGGTGCTATTAAACTATTTGTTTAACTCTTTAAGATAACATGATCAGGGGTGTAGTCAAGGCAGGTTTCTGTGGAGGACATATCTACAGCTCTTCAAGACAGTTTGAACCGATGTGGCACTTTGTGGGTGCTAGAATATTTATTTATTTATGATATTTATATGCCGCCCTTCTCACCCCGAAGGGGACTCAGAGAGGCTTACAAGATATATATACATACAACATATTATATTATTAGCATAGTATAATCTCAGCATTGTATATTGCTATATTGTACTATACCATTATATTTTAATATTATTAGTAATATTACATGTAATATAAAATATATAATTATAATATATTATTATTAGTGTTATATTGTATTACATTATAACATTATAAATATTATATGTATATACAATATATTACATTATATTATATTATTTGTGTAGCACAGGAAACTATGGGGGAAGGGGTACTCAACTGATGACATATGCAGGAGACAAGATGGAACTGTCCCCTGGCCCAGAGCGGCAGTTGGTGCTGGGGGGAGGAGTCCCCAACTGATGACATATGCAGGAGACAAGATGTAACTCCCCCTGCCTCCCCTTCACTCTGGGCCAGAGCGGCAGTTGATGCTGTGGGGAGGGGTCCGCAACTGATTACATATGAAGCTTAAAGTCCACAAGGCAGCAAAGTTGGAATTGTTTTCCATTGCATCAGGATAGGAGAGCCTCCTACAAAATACAAATTCATCAAAGCCCAGGGCACCTCTGTAGCTTATCTCTACACTAGCCGTCCCCTGCCACGCATTGCTGTGGCCCACATGGGGGTTCTGTGTGGGAGGTTTGGCCCAATTCTATCATTGGTGGGGTTCAGAATGCTCTGTGATTGTAGGTGAATTACAAATCCCAGCAACTACAACTCCCAAATGTCAAGATTCTATTTTCCCCAAACTCCACCAGTGTTCACATTTGGGCATATTGAGTATTCGTGTAGAGTTTCGTCCAGATCCATCATTGTTTGAGTCCACAGTGATCTCTGGATGTAGGTGAACTACAACTCCAAAACCAAAGGACACAGCCCACCAAACCCTTCCAGTATTTTCTGTTGGTCATGGAGAACTGTGTGCCAAGTTTGGTTCAATTCCATCATTGGTGGGGTTCAGAATGCTCTTTGATTGTAGGTGAACTATAAATCCCAGCAACTACAACTCCCAAATGACAAAATCATTTTTTTGAGTGAAGGACATACATTGGGTTGTTAGGTGTCTTGTGTCCAAATTTGGTGTCAATTCGTCCACTGGTTTTTGAGTTCTGTTAATCCCACAAAAGAATATTACATTTTTATTTATATAGATTGATTGATATTCCAGCAGCACACTTGCATCTCCTTGCAAGCAGAAAACTAGAAAGGAATGCTTCCATCACAGCTCTATCAGCTGAAAATATTCCTATCCACCAACATTAGGTTTGGGACAGGAATCGAGAAGATTGCAAGGAAATCTGCCAGCTCTCCTGCTTCAAGGGGCCGAGGGGAAGCAAACCGTAACAGTGTATTGGTCAACTTGGAGGGAATGTTTATTTGCTCTGTTGCAAATCTAGATCAAAGTAATGAAGGGCATATCTTTCCCTTGCAGATGGAGTCTCCAACACAGATGCACGTGGAGTTGGTGTCCGAATCACCAGTGGCCATGTCCCCCCGGCCTCGCTGCATCCGGGTGGGCTGTGACAACCCTCCTGTGGCCAACAACGACTGGGACAATGAGTATTGCAGCAACGAATGCGTGGTTAAACACTGCAGGTGTGTGGGAGAAAAACCTGCGGGTCTGTGTGCTGTGCTTTGGCTTCTAGCCAGTCCCTGAAGCAGAGCCAGCGACAGCAGCAATGCAAGGAAAGCTGCTGTGAAAACTGTACAAGATCTTGATGCTCACGTGGATTGGGTCTTTCCCATATTATAGAAGTCAAAGAAATTTTGTTTTGTTCTTTCTCACATCCTGCAAACACGTTCTCAGATTGGGTTGCTGTGAGTTTTCTGGGCTGTATGACCATGTTCCAGAAGCATTCTCTCCTGACATTTCACCCACATCTATGGCAGGCATCCTCGGAGATTGTGAGGGTTATTGGAAACTAGGCAAGTGGGGTTTATGTATCTATGGGATGTACAAGGTGGGAGAAATAACTTGTCTCTTTGAGGCAAATGTGAATGCTGCAGTTGATCACCTTGATTAGCATTGAATAGCATTGCAGCTTCAAGGCTTGGCTGCTTCCTGCCTGGGGGAATCCTGTGTCAACAGAAAGGAGGAAACTTATAAAAATGAACAAAATCTTTCTACTAGTATTAAAAAAACCCTCTAAAATCAGGACAGTAAAGAAAACAATACTCAAAAACAGGGGAATTCCAGACAATAAAAAGTCAGGCCCAACTAATCACCTCCCAACAAAGGATATCTCCCAGGCAGCAACCAGTCAAGCCTGGAAGCTGCAAGGCCATTAAATGCGAATCATGAACAAAACCTAGCTACCAGTATTAAAAACCCCTCTAAAATCAGGACATTAAAGAAAGAACAACACTCAAAAACAGGAGAATTCCACAAGAAACAGTCAGGCCCAGCTAATCACCTCCCAACAAAGGATATCTCCCAGGAGCAACCAGCCAAGCCTGGAAGCCACAAGGCCACTAAATGCTAATCAAGGTGGCCAATTGCAACATTCACACCTACCTCAAACAGACAAGAGTTTTTTCTCCCACCCTGGACATTCCACAGATACATAAACCCCACTTGCCCAGTTTCCAACAGACCTCACAAACCTCTGAGGATGCCTGCCTTAGATGTGGGTGAAATGTCAGGAGAGAATGCTGCTGGAACATGGCCATACAACCATGAAAGCCTTCTGACAACACATGTTCTCAGACATTTCCATGCAATGCCATCACAGGGACAGCCTATGAGGAACACTATCAGGGATGGGAAATCTGAAACAATCTAGATATAGATTGTTTCAGAGTTTCAGAATCAGACCTCACTACCTCTGAGGATGCTTGCCATAGATGCAGGCGAAACGTCAGGAGAGAATGCCTCTAGAACATGGCCATATAGCCCGAAAAAACCTACAACAACCCAGTGATTCCAGCCACGAAAGCCTTCGACAATACAATCGAGATATAGTTAAATAACAACTGCCTGATAAGCGCATAAATGCCTGTCCCTCTTTTATGGATTAGGGCAAGCTCTGGGAGCTGGGGAAGGATTGGAGACAGTCCATTTCTGGTTGTAATTCTAAATTATTGAGATTTAATCCAGTTCAGATATATTGGGAGTTTCTACTTGATTAGCCTTGAAGTGGCACAGTTTCACATCATTCCTTGGAAGGGAAAGACTGAGGCTTTAAATGTCTCTGCAAATTGAAAATCCAAATAGATTCCAATTCTCCAAAAGTATCTAGTGCAGGCATGGGCAGACTTCGGCCCTCCAGGTGTTTTGGACTTCAACTCCCACAATTCCTGGCCTCAGGCCCCTTCCTTTTCCCCCTCAGCTGCTTAAGCAGCCGAGGGGGGAAAGGAAAGGGCCTGAGGCCAGAAATTGTGGGAGTTGAAGTCCAAAACACCTGGAGGGCCGAGGTTTGCCCATGCCTGTTTTATACTGTGCCCTGCTACTTTGCCTTGGATGAAGGAAATACTATAAACATGAATGTTCCTATGGGACAGTGATGGGAAACTGCAGTAAGAGTTGAATACCGGCTGTTAGGAATTGTGGGAGTTGAAGTCCAAAACACCTGGAGGGCTGAAGTTTGTCCATACCTGTGCTCTTGAAGCAGACTGTGATTATGATCTTGGACTCTGCGTAATACAAAACGTGGTCAACGTACATCCCACAGTCTGCGTTTGACCTCTGAGCCTCACATTAAAACCACATAAGCCCCCAATTTTTAAAAGAAAATTCAATTTTGAGGTGAATTTATTTACCACACAGAAAGCCCACCAATATGGGTGAAAATGCACAAAAATATGCTTACTCACTGCAGACATTCCAGAATTCCATTTTGTCCGCAAACTCCTCTGCTTTCCTGTATTATTTCCTCCCCATCAAATCCCATATTTTAGCAGTGGAGCCCTACATGTTTACGTCAGTGTGTCTCTATAAATTGCACAAAAAACAGTTTTTCTCTACCTCTAACTTGCCTCCTTTTTTCTGTCTCTTTCTCTCACTCACAGGGATGTCTTCCTAGCTTGGCTGGCCTCCCGCAATTCCAACAACAATGTTGTCTTTGTGAAATAACCTCCAGCCTTTTGGTTGGAGAGGAACAGAGAGCACGGCCGATTTTGCGTCCCCATGCGCACTTTTTCCTGAGGACGCCTAAAAACGGATACAAGAATCGCCATGCAACTTTGGGGCGGGAAGGGGACGTGGCGGAATTGTACACGAGTTGGAGACCCTCTGCAGGAGATGATTTCATTTTTGGGGGGTGGGAGGGAAAGGGTTGGATGCCGCTGCAGCCGTCCCCCGTTATTTTTTTTCTATATATTATCCCTTGATATGTTTCTCTTGATGGAGTCGATTAAAAGCTGGACAAGGGATATTGGAAGCGGTCTGCTGTGTACTTCTTGGGAGAAAGATTGGAGAAAATAGTAATTCCTTCAGCATTAGAGAAATATTGGATTTTGAATGTCATTAAAGTATGAACCTGTATAAAGTATGGAGCCCCTGGTGGCGCAGTAGGTTGAGCTGCTGAAGTTGCTGACTGAAAAGTAAGCGGTTTGACTCCAGGGAGTGGGGTGAGCACCCACTGTTAGCCCCAGCTTTTGCCAACCTAGCAGTTTAAAAACATTCAAATATGAGTAGATCAATAGGCACCACTCTGGCGGAAAGGTAACGGTGCTCCATGCAATCATGCCAGCCACATGACCTGGGAGGCGTCTATGGACAACGGCGGCTCTTTGGCTTAGAAATGGAAATGAGCACCAACCCTCAGAGTTGGACACGACTAGGCTTAAGTGTCAAGGGAAACCTTTACCTTATGAATCTATTTCCAAGGAAGATGAAAAGTAATCAAGATGAAGTGAAGAATCCTGGTCCCTACTGTAGGGATTTTTTTTTTTGTGTCAAGAGCAACTTGAGGAACTGCAAGTCGCTCCTGGTGTGAGATAATTGGCTGTCTGCAAAGATGTTGCCCAGGAGACGCCCGAATGTTTTGATGTTTCACCATCCTTGTGGGAGGCTTCTCTCATGTTCCCGTATGGCAAGCTGGAGCTGACAGAAGGAGCTCATCTGTGCTCACCCTAGATTCGAACCTGCAACCTATCAGTCTTCAGTCCTGCCAGCACAAGGGCTTAACCCATTGCACCACCAAGAGCTCCATTGTAGGGATGGATAGCAAGGAATCGCAGCAAGAGAGGGTGGACTTCCTTTGGGTATAGCCTATGGATGGGAATAATGCATATGTCTCTCAGACTCAGAGGAGAATGAGAAAATTTTAGGGACTTCTGCTCCCTTGGGACCATCTACAAAAGGGGGGAGGAAGTTCATTTCTTCCAGAGGAACAACCATCTTGCTCCCGTTTCTTCTAAGTCTCAGTTATGGTGGGGAAAGAATCCATTTTATTAAAAAAAACTAAAGATTAGAATACACAGTCCTTGGCCTTTTTCTCTTCCTCTCAACATAACAGGTCGTGGTCCATAGCCTTGAGGCTTTCTCAGCCTTGTTACATGTTCTTAGGTTTTGAAATGATCCCATCAGGGTAACGCTGTTTGAACTGGGCCACGACATCCGGGTCCAACAAATGGATTCCATCAAGCTGGTTGCCAAGGGTGATCCTAGAAGAGGGAAAGGGCAGAGAAGTTGAGGACAGCTCCCAAATTTGTTGACACTGATGACAGAAAATATTGGTGTGCATGCGTACGTGTGTGTGCTTCTTACTGGCTTACGATCAGTGTTTCTCAACCTTCCTAATGCCGTGACCCCTTGATACAGTTCCTCATGTTGTGGTGACCCCCAACCATAACATTATTTTCATTGCTACTTCATAACTGTAATTTTGCTACTGTTATGAATTGTAATGTAAATATCTGATATGCAGGATGTATTTTCATTGACTGGACCAAATTTGGCACAAATACCTGATACACCCAAACTAGAATAGTGGTAGGGTAGTGACCATCACTCAAAAAATTTGTCATTTGGGAGTTGTAGTTGCTGGGATTTATAGTTCACCTACAATAAAGAGCATTCTGAACACCAATGATGGAATTGAACCAAATTTGGCACACAGAACTCCCATGACCAACAGAAAATATGGAAGGGTTTGGTGGGCATTGACCTTGAGTTCTGGAGTTGTAGTTCACCTCCATCCAGAGAGCACTGTGGATTCAAACATGATGGATCTGGACCAAACTTGGCATAAATACTCAACATGCCCGAATGTGAACACTGGTGGGATTGGAGGGGGGATTGATTTTGTCATGAATACTCAATATGCCCAAATGTGAACACTTGTGAAGTTTGACATTTGGGAGCTGTAGTTGGTGGGATTTATAGTTCTCCTACAATCAAACACCATTCTGAACCTCACCAACAGTAGAATTGGACCAAACTTCCCACACAGAACCCCCATGACCAACAGAAAATACTGTGTTTTCTGATGGTCTTTGGTGACTCCTCTGACACCCCCTTGTGACCCCCTCCCCAGGGGTCCCAATCCCCAAGTTGAGAAACACTGGCCTTGAAGATGAAAGATGGAGATTGTACCATGCAACCCTCAAAATACCTAGATCTGACAAGGTAACACTTTTAAGGTGAAAACTCACCACAAATACCACCTGGGGCAATTTTAGACTTCGAAAACATGCTTACAAGTTAAAATCAGCTGCAAAACTCAGAGTTGCAGACCAGATGTTTCCAGGCCACCAATTTTCAGTCTAATATGCATTTGCACCACTCACAATGGGTGATGGTGGTGGTACTGGAACTGCTCATCCCTGTCTGAAATGGGATTAGACCAGTGGTTCTAAACCTGTTGTTCCCCAGTTGTTTTGGCCTACAACTCCCAGAAATCCCAGCCAGTTTACCAGCTATTAGGATTTCTGGAAGTTGAAAGCCAAAACATCTGAGGATCAATAGTGAGAACCACTGGATTAGAGAGATCTGGCCAATGTGGTGTTTATCCAAAGCTAATGGCAATTAGTCCTGATTGCCACAGGCAATTTGACAAACTTTGATCTGTTAAAGCAGGCATTTGGAGGCAACCCAAGACCATTTACCAGTCTCTTGTCCCCGTTGTGACAGTATTGGGCCAAGAAATGAAGAAGAGATGCTGGCGGCTCATCAGGTCCAGTAAGTTTTTTCAGCATTGCTGTTGTATGCTTTCAAGTAATTTCTGACTTATGGCAACCCTATCACGGCGATTTCTGGGACGGAGAATGTGTGACTTGCCCACGGTCACTTAGTGGGTTTCTTTGGCTGAACATAAACTCAAACCCTGTTCTTTGGCATTCTCTCTCCATTCCAAATTGACCTCAAGGGAAAACAATGCATAGGAGAGGCAAAAGAATGTGTCTTCAAATTGCAAAGTGACAAAGGAAACCAGTAGCTCTTGGTTCTAGCTTAGAACACTGTAAAATGAGGATTGTGGGCATTGCGTTCAGATTTCTAGTTCATTATTTGAACAATGGGTCAGAGTGGGACAACAGCAACATAGAGAGTGCATACCAGTTGGGCTGCACATTGTGTGGCCTTCCAAAGAGTTCGATCTTCCGGGTCCCCGGTGAAAGCCGTTCAATCATGCCATAGATCTCATCTGGTTTGTGGCTGGTAGAGCGAACCTGCAGGACAAAAGGAAGCATGTTTTCGTACAAAGTATGAGAAATGGAGGAATAAGAAAACTGCTTTTCACCACCCACGATTCTTCCTCTTGGTCAGAAAAAAGTCCTCTCTCACCTCAGCCACAATGACATCACAGTCAAGACCCCGGTTGAAGCCCTGTGGGTTTCCTTTAACCCCAACCTGTTGAATAGGCAAAAGAAAAAGACAGGTGGAGCAGCCAGTCTGGGTTCTTCCATCCCCCAGAGATAATGACGCCCTAAGGCCTGCCATCTTTTGCAAGAATCCTAACCCAGATTAGGTTCCTGAATTACCAAGCAATGCTCCTTTCCGTGGTTCAGCCAGTGGCCAGTGCGCCCCGTTCGGATAATGCGCTGGAGCTGGTTGGTTTTCACCCAGATGATTTCGTCCACCCGTTCATACCTTAGGGGTGACATTGGGGAAAACGACGAGGAAATGTGTTGAAAATAGCAACTTTCCACACCTCCACAAACTGTTTGTAAATGTATATAATTGTTAACCTATATTATATGTACATTTTGGTTTGACAGTTTGTACCTCTTTGGGGTAGACACAGCACTCCATTTTTGTTATACAGTTTGCATCAGACCTCAGTGGAGGTGGATGCATGTTGCTGTTTGGACTTTAGTAGAGAAGTATGACTTATGGTCTTCAGTGAGTACAGCTATACTTAAAGACTATGGACAATTGATTAAGTATCATACCCTGTGTACTCAAATACAGAGAAGAAACTACATGTTACCTAACTGAGCTCTAAATAAGAAATGTGCTGGTATGGTGAATAGATACAAGAAGTTTGCTAGTATACCTGAGATGTAATTTTTAAAGAAGACTACTTTGGTTTGTTGTCTCTTGGGTGCATGTTTTAACTAAGAATGTATATCATTTGGGCACTTGCAATTGCAAAGTCTACTTCAAAGAAACAACCATCCTCTGCTAACCAAATATATTTTTGTAGTGGCATGTCTTCATCCTTGGCAGTTTAAAGACATGGTTCTTCAGTTTAACAGCTGAGTTACCTGTGTGCCATTACATTAATATCTTGTTCAAAGAGTTAACTTCTAGTAAGGCCATGCTTTTCTTGACTAGTGGTTTTCAGAAGGCGGTCTCCACATGTTCATGGAGATTCAAACGGATGTGACATAATTTTTACCTTTTCAATAAGGTTATGGTGCACTTATTTCAATAGGTGATGGAATTTCCAATAAAACAAAAGAACCAATCAAGAAAGAAATCAAATGAGAGGGATGGACTATGTGTCCGTATTCTGCAAGTATCCTGCTGTGATAAAATGCCACAGGTACAGCAGCAGTGATAGTCTTTTTTTGGGCAGAGCCCTTATTTTTGCTCTCAGCAAGCCTCCATGCTTTTGGCACTAAGGAAGTGACATTGTGTTTCCCTTTGGCCAATTTCAGCCCAGGGGGAAGATGAATTTTACAGGCTGCAAAGAATTATTATTATTATTATTAATAATAATAATAATAATAATAATAACTTTATTTATATCCCACCCCATCTCCCAATACGCGACCTGAAGCAGCTGACAACATAAAAGGCAAATATTCAATGCCAACAAGTACATACATATAACCTTAACTTAACAGCATTTAAAATCCAATCACAACTAAACTAGACCAGTTTTTGCCCTTTCTTGGCAAAATATCATCCCAAAATTTAAAAGACAGGGCTGAAGAAATGGGGCTCGGGGCCTAAACTTTACTCTCTTGTCAATAAATGAATGGAAACGTAAGATGGTCCAAGATGGCAGATTTTTGTCTGTCTTTCTTCACCACCCTGAAAAAAATTGCCAATATAGTAGTATTCCAAGTAGGATCCTAGCTTCATATCCTTTGCATCCATCAGACAGTACTCACCCCCAAAGGTTGAGACACTCTCGGCCCAGTTCCATGGCTCTGAGGAGACAGAAAAAGAGAAAATTAATGGTATGAACTGTTCTTGTTCCAAAACATCTGCTGAGCATATTTATTATTTATTTATTTACTCTATCCCGAAGGGGACTCAAGGCAACTATTCAATGCCTTTGGACAACAAACAGTTAGAATACACTTAAGTTAAAAAATTAAAATTAAATACCTAAATTACACTTCCCATTGACTGGGAAGTGTAGTTCAGGGGGAAAAAATTAGAGGTTCCACCTGGCATTCCCAGTCATTCCAGGTTCCCCACTATGTGTCATACCGGCCAGTGACCCATAGAAAAAGAAAGCCTTCATCCTGTAACACCGGGATGTTGAGCCGCCTCATCTCATCATCAGTGAGTGTCCCGTAAGGCAGTTCCATGTGGATGTCCCAGGGCGGGTCGGCCATCACTACGGCAAACTTGCCCAAGATGCTGACGTCCAGGTAGCGAATGTCACAGCAAATCCACTACCCACACAGAAAAGGAAAAAAGGGAAAGCGTTTTAGAACTGGGAGAAAGAATTCATTGCCATTTGGAACAGATTTCGTTGCAACTCTTAATACCCCAAACAGAACAGCCAATCAACAGTTATTTTAGAGGTTTTCTATCCTCTGAGCCCAATGAGTCCAATATTGGAAACCAGGCCTTAACCACAAACCACATCTCAGTACCTGTGGGGGAAAGAGACGGTCCACACTGGAATCTCTCCCTACTGCTTGAGGCAAAGCCAGTTCTTGTCCTGAGCTGAGTTCCCGCCCGCAGGGAGCATCTAAGTCAGCGCAGGCATCGATTTCGTAGTGCACGTATTTGCAGGTGTCCATGTGGAAACAAGTGTTCAGGAAGGAACAGTCCCCCAACGACTCATCCGTGTGCTTGTTTATGATGCGTCTAGAAATAAAAAATTATGTTGAATTGAGATTACAGGTAAAGCATCCCTTACTTGAAATATTTGGGACCAGAAGTGTACGATACTTTCGATTTTGGGCTGCTGTGAGTTTTCCAGGTTGTATGGCCATGTTCCAGAAGCATTCTCTCCTGACGTTCCACCCACATCTATGGCAGGCATCCATGAAAGCCTTCAACAACACTTTTGATTTTTTTTCAGATTTCAGAATACTTGTATATACATAATAATAATAAATAATAAAAACTTTATTTATATACCGCTCTATCTCCCCGGGGGGACTCAGGGCGGTTTCCAAGCAACAACATCAAAACATACAGAGTCACAACATGAACAAAAAATAACAGTAACAGAAACATAAGCATGGAATAATGAGATAGCAACATCTAAACAGAAAAATTGTTTATGTATATAATGAGTTATACACCTTACTCATAGTCTGAAGGCTAATTTTTAATAAATTTGTGCATAAACCAAAGTTTCTGTACATTGAACCACCAGAAAGCAAAGGTGTTATGCTCTCAGCTGCCATATAGACAATTTTGTAGTATTCCTAATTTCAGAATTTCAGATTAGTGATACTCAACCTGTACTGCTGTCTTATATCGCTTACCTTTTATATTGTATACTCATAATTTTCTAATGCTCTGTGCATAATAGTATCTGAATTTTATAAAATAATGGGAAAGCGAAGAAACAGGCAACTAAAATAGATTGGAGGGGGAACAAAGGCGGAGAAACAATGTCATCGCCACTGGAAAACAATTTCCGTGATCACTGGCCACACTTACCGGAAGTGAAGCTTCCGACAGGGCCGCTCAGCATCATTGGCCTTCATGCACTCTTCCTTGGTTCCATAGTCGCAGAACTCTTGCACTTGGGCTCGGCCTCGTGAGCGGAACTTCTCCACAATGGACTGCTCTTTGGCTGTCGTCGTGTTCAGCAGCTCCAGGATCTCTTGACTCACCTGGGAAACAAGAACATTGAGCCCTGACTCGAGGAATATCTAAAGTCCCCTTCAGGGTTGAGAAGGGCAATATAAAAATACTGAAAATTAATAAATAAGTTTGGATTCTCACAATAATTAGGGTGGTATGTTTGGATGTGGCATACCATCCTTTCCCTACCTCTGATGTATAGACCCATCTTTTTACTGCAACTCCCAGAAACCTATAGCAAGCACAGCCAGTGAGCAGTGATTTGAGGAACTGTACTCCTAAAATCCCATTCTTGCCCGTTCCTACCTTCTTGCTCTGCTGCTCCTTCGTGGACTGCTGGCTCAGCAAGCTCTCAATCTCCAGATCCAGATCTGAGGCTTGCTTGCGTGATTTCTTGGGAGGCTCTCTGAGAGGCTCCAAGAGAGTCGAGATGGAAGGTGAGGCCCCTGCTGTGGAGATGGAGGCCCCGGTGTCTTGCTCTGCTCTCCTCTTCACCCCTCCAGCCCCGGCGCCTTCCCCCGTTCCCTTCTTCTCAGCCACTGCACCCATCATGGCAGAGAGCTTAGAGTGGTCGGCATAGGTGACCAGCATGGGCTGGTCATCTTCCTGGAGGAGACCTCGTTTCACCTCTATCAGCTCCTGAGCGGCAAATTTCTGCAGCAGGCTCTCCACACTCTTCTGGGTGGCAGGGGACTCAGGCTGCAAGGGGAAAGAATAAGACTGTCAATGGGGTATCTGAAATCAAACCATCAGTCAATGACAGATGGGAGCTTCCTTTTGTTAGTGGGGGCCAGACAATATTTTTTTGTCCAGAATGCCATGGAGCTATCCAATGTGCTGACCTGAATGCCTCACTTGGGACACCAATTTCTTTCAACTTCTGACTACAGCCCAGAATGGACTTGTTACCCCACTGAAAAACTGTTCCTGCACTGTGATTGCCTGGAGGCTTATAATCTAACTTCAGCACCTTGGACAACTCCTTAAAATTTCTAGACCAATGGTGTCCAACATTTGGTCCCCCATATTTTTTTTATTTTAGCTCCCAGAATTTCTGAACATAGGGAAAGCTGGCCAGGGCTTCTGGGAGTTGGGTCCAAATACTTGGAGGACCAAATGTTGGATACCATTGTTCTAAACTAAAATCTAAAATGGATTTGTTACCCTAGAAATGTTTCTGAATTGCAGCTTCCAACATCCCAATGAGGTGAGCCAATATCTTGAAGATTACATGATTCTTACCTCTTTTGAGGTTACAGTTACATTTGCGGGTTTAGCTTTTGAAGATCCAATTATTAACTTCTCTTTAGGAATCTCTAGTACTCCAGTGTGGCTCTATGTCAACTGACATTGAACATAAAAGTCACATTGGAGGTCCTATAGATTCCTAGAGAAGTGTTCTTTTAGAGAGGGGAGGCCAGGGGACAGCACCATCTTGTCTCCTGCATTTGTCATCCGTTGGGGACCCCTCCCCCCAGCACCAACTGCCACTCTGGGCCAGAGCGAAGAAAGAGGGGCCAGGGGACAGTTCCACCTTGTCTCCTGTGCTATTCTAATAATATGTTATAATATAATATATTGTATATACATATAATATTTATAATATTGTAATGTAATGCAATATAATACTAGTAATTGTTTTTAAATGCATAATGATTTTGTATTCTGTATATCTAAACTGTTGTAAACCACTCTGAGTCGCCTAAGGGCTGAGAAGAGCGGTATACAAATAAAGTAAATAAATAAATAATAAATAAATAAATTTGCATTTTTTCACTTTCGCATGGGTCCTGCACCCCTAACCTCCACAAAAGGAGAAACGAGCTTTAAATCAATTCTGGCTTTCAAAAACAAACCAAATAACCTAAAATGTTGCATCTTTGGTGAGGTTATGGACCAAAATTGTCTCTCCTGAGCACATTTCAGGTGTATTCAATCCTGTGATGAAAATGGGTAGATAAGAGAAGATGCTGACAGGCCTCAAGCAATGCTAGTTCCTTGTTCTCACCGTTGAAATGGCAAGGCAGATGGACAAGGCATCTGTGGGCAATGCCAGTGCCAGATCCGAAAGGTGATGAAGGAGTTTCTTCTCAAGCTCAGGGTCTGTCACCAGATCCCCAGATTCAGTAGCAGTGCTGGGTGTGACAGACGAAGAGACTGGGCTGTCACTGCGGAAGGGAGGGCTGAGGGCCAGCTCTGGATTCCTGAGGTCTGGAAGGAGGATGGAAGAAGACACGATAGCACTGTCCATGAAAGAAACATTTTGTCCTTGACTACATTTCTGTTCCTACCTGCTGACCTCACTTTATTCTTTCCTTGGCCTTCAGCCTTGTTTTGCTTTCAACCGGGCCAACTGGATTGGAATTCCCAGCAGCCTCATCCAACACATACAATGGCTGCGCTGGGAAGGACAGTCCAACAATACCCAGATGCCATGTGATTTCCATCCCTGGTATATTGTATTCCCCATAGAAATCTTAGTCACATATTCCAAAATAAAAATGTGGAGGAAATCTGAGGTCATTTTTGGATTTAGAGCACCAAATTTATATCAAACTAGCACACAGTTTTAGAAAGCTTTTATGACCCTCAGTTTTGTTGGTCTCTCCAAACTCAGATTCTGTGTACCTTCATCACCTTGTGGACTTATGGTGATTCCATGGATTTTATAAGGTCTTTTTTTGTTAGCAGAGCATCCAAAACCACAAAAGAGTACTTATAATTTAGCATTCAGTTCACCGCTCACAGCAAGCAGAGCATGAAGTGTTGTGGCCGGGAAAGAATTTAGAGTTTAGGAGGCCAGATGCAGAGTTCAATCTTTAAAGTTACAAAAGGTTTATTTACAAAAATGATAACTACATTTCTTAATAGTAAAGAACTCGTCTGAGCTACTCTCTAACTCCAACTGGATCTAGACACCAGACTCCTGCTGATGCAAGCCAAAATCCCATTGGCCTTTTTTGCTGCTGCATCATATTGTTGGTTCATGTTTAACTTGTTGTCCATGAGGACCCAAAGATCTGCAATCACTTCTGGTGTGAGAGAATTGGCTGTCTGAGAGGATTTTGCCCAGATGTTTTACCATCCTGTGGGAGGCTTCTCTCATGTCTGACTTGGCCACGGTAGTCCGCGTTCTGGTTACATCCCGTATAGACTACTGCAACGCTCTCTACGTGGGGTTGCCTCTGAAGACTGCTTCGAAGCTTCAAATGGTCCAACGATCGGCAGCCAGGATGCTAACAGGAGCGGCTCTCAGGGAGCATACAAATTCTCTGTTGCGCCAGCTCCACTGGCTGCCAATTTGCTACCGGGCACAATTCAAAGTGCTGGCTTTAGCCTTTAAAGCCCTAAACAGTTCTGGCCCGACCTATCTGTCTGAATGCATCTCCTATGAACCAGTTAGAACGTTAAGATCGTCTGGGGAGGCCCTGCTCTCGGTCCCGCTGGCTTCACAAGCACACCTGGCGGGGACGAGAGACAGGGCCTTCTCAGTAGTGCCCCCCCCCCCCGGCTGTGGAACGCCCTTCCTACAGACATTAGATCGGCCCCCTCCTTATTGACATTCAGGAAGAGAGTGAAGACCTGGCTCTTCAAACAGGCTTTCAACTAAGCAGTGCAATTGATTGATTTCTGGAATACGGATTAATGGACAACGAGATCGGATGCTGATTCAATCGATGAGACGTGATGGATTGTTGTTTTCCTGTATTGTTGTATTGATGTTCTGATGTTAATTAATTGATTTAATTGTTTTAAATGATTAATGATTTTGTACTGTGTTGTTGATACTGGCTGTTAACCGCTCTGAGTCACCTGATGGCTGAGAAGAGCGGTATACAAGTGAAGTAAATAAATAAATAAATAAATGTCCCTGCATGAGAAGCTGGAGCTGACAGACAGGAACTCACCCTGCTCCCTGGATTCGAACTGCCGACCTTTCGGTCAGCAAAACTACATGGGAGTTGCAGTTTTGCAAGGCCTTCTGTGGCAAAGAGTGCTGGTGCCTCACCAAACTACAGCTCTCAAGATTCCATATTACAGAGCCAAGGCAGAGAAAGTGGGGTCAAATTGCATTCATTCTACAGTGAATAACTGATGTCCAAAGCCCTGGAAAGCTAGAGGAGATTCCATCTGAACATGAGGAAGAACTTCCTGACTGTGAGAGTCGTTCAGCAGTGGAACTCTCTGCCCCAGAGTGTGGTGGAGGCTTCTTCTTTGGAAGCTTTTAAACAGAGGCTGGGTGGGTTGTTGTAGGTTTTTCCGGGCTATATGGCCATGTTCTGGAGGCAATTTTTCTCCTGACGTTTCGCCTGCATCTATGGCAAGCATCCTCAGAGGTAGTGAGGTTGAGAGAGGTAGAGAGGCTGGATGGCCATCTGTCAGGGGTGCTTTGAATGCAATATTCCTGCTTCTTGGCAGAATGGGGTTGGACTGGATGGCCCATGAGGTCTCTTCCAATTCTTTGATTCTATGATTCTCTCCATTTTACCTTCACCCCCTTTTCACACATACACGCCCATAAATGGCCTTTGCTTTCGCATTCAAACCACCACAAAACCATCCCGGCCTTCATTATTATTATTATTATTGCTATTATTATATTTTACCCAAAGGTTCTTGCTTCCGCCTCCGCTGCAGCCGCTCCCGCAGGGAGTCCAGCTGCTTCTTGTGAGCCTGGATCGAGCTCCATGTGTCTGACATCTCCCCGGCCAGTACATCAGCCAGAAAGGCGTCTCAAATAGGCAACCGGAAGTCTCTCCCTGGGGGACTGAGATCATGTGAGCACACTTCCGGTTTGAAGCTCTTTAGGGACAGAGCGGTCGCTAAGACAAAGGGGAAGTGGATGTTCAAGCCGGAGCGATGCTCAAGCAGCCATTTTGGAAATGGGCACATTTCTTGTTCCCGCCTGCCTTTGCATCATCTGCTTCACATATGAGATGCATGGTTTTGAATAGGGTTTTCTGAGACAAGAGGTGGCTTTGGCAGTTGTTTCCTATGAAATATAGCCTACTGTGGTATCTCAATCCTTCTAGGCTTGCCTTCAAGTTATACCCTTTTTAAATTTTTTTTAATAATAATTATTATTATTAATATATTATTTCAGTGGGACAATGAATTCTACGAACAGAAAGATGGAGTAGCTATGGGGAACCCTCTCATAGCTAACTTCTACATGGAACACTTTGAAAAACAAGCCCTGGAAACAGCAACCAAAAAGCCCACGATAT